GAGACTCTCTGCCCCGATTTTACGGGTGCAACTGGGGGCCGACTCGTTTTCTCTTGCAGCTGCCGTGACAAATCGGCGCAGGCAAATACCGTCCAGGGGGCTATTATTGTTCTTGTTGATGAGACTCTGGAAAAGGCAACAGACCAGACAAAAAGCAGGTGAGATGAATCCGGATTACGGACGGTGTCATCAAAGAAGAAGAAGAAAAAAGAAGAAAGAAGAAAGAAGAAAGAAGAAAGATAGCCCAGGCAACAGAAAGACAGAAGAGAACTATATTATTAGCCTGAGGAAACTTCGTAACCCAGAATGACCGACGACGGGGGCTCGCCACCCCACCCACCCCAGTTGTAGTATATACTGCGTAGCCAGGGCAAAAAAAGAAACAGAAAAAAAAAAAAAAAAAAACCAAATTAACCCCAGGGTAGCCAAGTATAAAAGTAACCAATGACTCAGTTCCAAGCCTAGCGCGCCAATCGCGGACGAGAGCACAGGCTCCTTCTTGCCTGCAAATCACAGAGTTTGACCCTGGCCTTGGCCTTGGAAGGGCTTGGATCCATGGATAGTTGAGGTGGAGAGGTTATTGGTTATTGGGAGGTGATGACTTATGACTAACTAGGAACAGCAGTGCGCACTTCACCACTTCAGGAGAGGTTGGTTTGTGGCAGCGGCATGCATTGCGATGGATGGTGGGGGGGGGGGAAATGAAGTTGGCAAATAATGGCAAGTCAAGGGAGGGGGAAGTTATTCTTAGAAAGTGAAGGGGTAGTTAAGTTACATGTTATAAAATAAAGAGGGATGTAGCCCAGTCTCATCCTTTTTTTGAACCTTTTATTTAATTACACTCATCTCCAAGGCAGTACGGAGTAGTAGTTGTAGACAGATTGATAGTGTCAGTGTATCTGACAACAATGACTCTACCTACCTTCTTCCTGGCTCATGTTTCAGCTTATTTTATTTTATTTTATCACCAGGATATTTCCCAGATATTTTTGACACCTGTGTAATTCTTCCAGAAGCCTGGGGTGGGGTTATATGAACTGTAAATAATGAGTAAATGAGAATAAAAGTCGGTAGGACAAGAGAATAGATAGTAACTAGTTAATTTATTTCCCTACACAGAATACAGAACAACCTTAGTGTAAGTTAGAGATCTGAAGTCAAGAAGAAGAAATCCCGTATCGTATTCAGAAACTCATTCGCTGGCGGTTGTCAGTATCATCGTCGTCGTCGCTAGCTGTCGCTTCCCCGATTATTATTATTCCATTCCCAACACCATAAATTCCAAGCCCTGCTGCTGCTAATAATAATGGGTTATCATCAATTTGGTTTCTTTTTGTCCCCTTTCGTGCTCCTCTTTTTTTCTTCTGCGTCTCCTCCTCCTTTCTCTTTTTCATCCAATGAGGACAAAAACACCAATATGAACTACATTATCATCCACCTTCTACCCGCACGTACGCAGATTATAGAGAACCTGCCTCTGCATCTCAACTTTCTTTTTCCTTATTTCTCCCCTAAAAAAAAAAAAGAAGATTTTTTTTTTTCCATGACTCGTGTTCGCCTCAGGCTGCCATTTTTCTTTTTCACAAACTCACACCAAATCTCTCCCCTCCCTTGGGCTTTTTTATTTTTATTTACTCTTCCGATGATACGAGAGTGACTCCCTCAAAAAACCTCATTCATCACCCCCCCATCTAAATCCTATATACATATCTGACCTGTCTCTTGAAAAGAACCCATCTCAGCCCTTTCACAAACAAACACTCTCTTCTCAATCTTCTTTTTGTGTTCAATTCCCCTGTACTGTACAACCTCTGTTTTATGCGCCCATCCTCTTCTTCTTTTTCCTTTTGAGTCAACAACTTATTGTCTTTCAATACACATATTCTCTCATCTCTCTTTCCTTCTACTTCTTCATCTTCATCATCATCATCATCATCATCATCATCATCATCATCATCATCTTCTTCTTCTTCTTCTTCTTCTTCTTATCCGCTTCCTCTTTCAATGATTGTTGCTATTGTTCGACCAACAGCAATAGCAGCAGCCTTCCTCCCTCCCATGCCTGCGGATCGGCCGTATTTGAAATTCTTTATTCAGAGATAAACTATCCTTTCTTCTTGTTCCTTTCAGGTAAGTAAGAGCAAAAGCAGGACAGAAATAGGCAGAGAGAGCAAGTAGCAAGTTGCCAGCCTGCCTCCGTGCCAGCCCCCTGGCCCCAGCCATCCGAGGATGACAAAACACATCCATGTGCCGCTTCCACACCCTTTCCCCTTTGCTGCCTATATACGGAGTATATACAGCTGCCTATACTCCGTACAGCTGCTATTATTGCTGTTCTTGTGCGCTGTTTTGCCTGGTTCGTCCCCAAAGGCGGCCAAGTGAAGTGACATATTCCCTTCCCCCCCCCCCATCTTGTCGGGTACAGACTTTAGCTTTTGGGCTATTATTTGCCAATAATGATGTGCTTCCACCCTGTCTGTCATAACAAAAAAGGCTAATAGCAACATCAAGAACAAGAATTTGAGGAAAAGAAAGAAAAGGGAAAAAAAGAGAAAATGAAAAAGAAAAAGAATATCCCGCATTCATATTCATGCCTGGAACCTACTCACACACCCTTTTCTTTTTCTCTTTTTCTCTCTTTTTTTTTTTGTTTTTTGTTTTTTTTTTTTTTAATTTATTCTCTCTGATGATAGATAACTAGATAACTATATTATTGTTTTCTTGTTATTTATTATTAGTTATCAATATCGTGGTTATGCTAGCCTTGTTGAGGGTTAGAAAATAGGACAGACAGCCTTCTTTTTTTTGCAGTATTATTTATTATTGTAATCGTCATTATCACCACCAGTATAGGTAGTATTTAATATTGTATTGAGCTCACTAACAAGTTGAGCCCGCCTTCAACTCCTCCTCCCTCCTCCTCCTCCTCCACGAACCTCTGCCAGCCATCTCTAAATCTCTTCCTAGTATATTTGAAGATTCCTTTTTCTTTTTTTTATTTTTATTCCCTATTATACGTAACCTGATTTTATTATTTTATTATATATATATATATATACTTTTTTTACCTTGTTTGAGTTTCCCCGAGTTTATTCCAGCTCAGTGTGAGAGTTGAGGCGGCGCGTTCCCCACTAAGTTACCTGCTGCTAGACTGTCAAGTGTTATTACTTTTAAGTGTTATTACTTTTATTTCCCATCCCATCCAACCCAGCCAAGCGCTCTCGCCACATCGCCACTTGCCGGGCTCCGTAGGGTCGGGAATTCAGTCATAATAGTCTCAGAATAATATTAATATTATTAATAATTCCATACTTGTTAGTATACTCCGTACTAAATATTCCAGAGTTGTGGACAACCAACCGCCCAACCGCCTTCAAGCAAGTGAGCCAGTTCCCAGTCATCATTCTTCCTCCCATTCTCCGCTTGGCTTCCTCCCCTCCCTCCTCCCCCCCTTCTTACTCATCGCCTCTTCCACTCCTCTCCACTCCTCGCCCTTCCCTCTCTCTCCCTCTCTCTCTCTCTCTCTCTCTGTGTGTGTGTGTGTGTATCTCTCTCTCTCTCTCTCCCTCCCTCTCTCTCTCCAATATAAGGAATACTCCCGAATGTCTAACTGAATGGATCTTCTCCTCCCGCAGTAATCCCTCCGGTCCAACGTCCTCTCCTCTCCTCTCCTCTCCTCCCTCCTCTCCTCGGCCCCCGTCTCCTCTCGCCTCGCCTCTTCGTATCCGGAGTTCCCAACACCAAATCTCACACTACCACCTTATACCCTTCCTGGCCACCAGGCTCGGAGAAGCAGTCTGAGAGATCGAGCGCGTTCTCTTTCTCTTGACTCTTCTTCTTGGGAACCCAGCAGAATCCTCTACTTAGCCGGGTAGGCATCATACCATACAACCAAGCTGGATCCTGGTACTCCCGAAAAGAGACAGCCGCCTGGATAAGCGCAAGCCTTAGCTGGTGTTGCCTGCTCAAGCCAAACCACCAGCCTCGTTTTTTTATTTTATTTTCTTTCCCTTCTTCTCGCGTGTGTTATTGTGTTGGCAACAGAGTGACGATGTACCCTGCTCTGTCATATTCTTTCGATCCGATCGCCAGCTCAGCAGATTCCAAAGTCGCGTATCTACCCGCTACCACTACTACCACTACTACAACTACTACAACTAAGATGGCTATGACTGGTCGCATCTGAGTCGATCGGGTCCCTCCGCCCCTGCTGAAGAGTCACGTTGCCCTTGTATTAAGAGCCGAGTGCACGCCACCCGCCTCGACGTACAGATCAGCCTGCGCTCTCCACTGCTTGGTACCGTACCTGCATCTCATCGCCGTCTTCGCATCCAGTTATATACACCGTCTTGCTGTCCTCATATAACCTCGCCCCCTACCTGACCTCACCGCGCTCCACCTCCCTTGCACACCTCCATACACCTACTTCTATACATACCTGCATACCTACATCCTCCTTTGGAATCATCTACTGCTGGTGATCGGAATCGCTCCCCAATACCGATAATACAACATCCTCTCTCCTCTGTCCTGCGACACCCTTTACATCATACATCAACCAACATTCCTTTACTTCATCCTTCGCCCCTGATACTGGCTCACTAAATCTTCCAACGACTCCTTACCTTTCGGCCCCCCTTCCACCAACCTTCGGAAACAACTTTGCTTTCACCCTGCGTTCTACTATAGCGTAGAGAGGGCTCCCCGTCTCCTCTCGAAAAATACCAAAGACGGGATTATCCTACCGCATATCTTACACGGCTTTTTACTACCCGGTTTATTTCCCCCCCAAAAAAACTCCCCCGGCTTTTTACCAAAATCGTCCGTTACGTTGTCGACACATTTTCGAACGATTATTTAAAATAAGGTTTCGACCTCTGCTGCTGCTTGTTCGGGGAAAAAAAAAAAAGGAAAAATCATAGTACCAGTCTACTATTTTCCTTCTTCTTTATAAGCGCATGCATTTTTTGCGACCGCTTTAAATATACTCTTTCGAAAATATGCCTGGAATGGACGTCTTGGGTTTCAATCTTGCGAACCCAAGTCTGCAAAAGAATGTCCCGCGACCTCCACCACACCCGTACGCTTCGTCGATCGCTTCGTCTGCATCTTCTTCCTCGTCTTCAGTCTTCTCCCTCGACTCTGCCCAATACTCCCTCTCCTCGTCGGCTAGTTCTGTCGACGTGATTTGGGAAAATGAGGTCCTGGGAAGCGGTGACTCATCATCATCACAACAACAGCAACAGGCAGGAGGAGGAGGTAGAACGTTGAGCTCATCAAGTGAATCGAGTTTCCACTGTTTCCGTTCTGGAAGAGGTTGTGGCCCTAAAGTCGCTGACGCTGCAGTTGCACCTGAATTGCGGCAGAATCCCCGACGTACCTACAGTAACACTTCATCATCATCGTCTGCCTGTTCGAGGCCCCCACCGACGCTGGTCCGCCAGTGTGATCGGAAAGTCAATTTTGTCGACAATCTCGTCGGTAAGTTTGATACTACAATCCCGTTGTTGTCTGTTTCTGCCATGTTCTTTGTTTCCGTTTCTGATCTTTCTTCCTGATCCTTTTTCTTGGCGTGCCCTGGAAGACTCTGCCTCTCAAATTGTCGAAACCATCTGGCCGTTGTCAGTAGTAGCGCTCCGCAATGATTCTCCCTTGGGTTCAAGGGGGGTCTTGCCCCTGCGCACTTTCATCCAGGAAACGCTTCGACGGTCAAGGACCAGCTATTCGACTTTGCAAGTTGCGCTGTACTATCTTATCATGATTAAACCTCATGTGCCTAAACATGATTTTACCATGGAGCAGCCGAGAAATCACCCCTGCACGCGTGCTATGCAATGCGGCAGGCGGATGTTCCTCTCTGCACTTATTTTGGCTTCCAAGTATCTTCAGGATCGAAACTACTCCGCTCGAGCGTGGAGCAAGATTTCAGGCTTGAATACACTAGAGATCAACCAAAATGAGCTGGCGTTCCTCGAGGCGGTGGGCTGGAAACTCCACATCTCGGAGGCCGTCTTCCAGCGTTGGACGGACATTGTTCTGAAGTACACTCCTAGCGCGGGTGGTTCTCCAAACGGCGAAGGCCTCACTTGGCGGGCCGTTATCCCCGTCCTCACTCCAGAACTTGACACAGTCGATCTGGAAGCCGACCGGTATCGCGGTGTTGTTGATCATGTCATGACTGGCACTAGCATCACCCCGTCGCCTAGTCCTACGCCAATCCCGGACAGATTGTCCAGTGTATCACCACCACAACCACAACCGACTAATGACCAGACACCCACGGGACTGAGAATTGTCTACCCAACTCTTGAGCCAAACCCGTATGCCCAGCTCCCTTCTCTCCCGAAATTTGCCTCTCTCCCCACTCCACAGATGACCCCGCAGACAGGCTCTGTCAACACTCCTGCAGCGAGCGTTGGTGGATTCCTCTCTCGGAAACCCTCCATCTGTGCCGCCATATCCCAAGCGCGCAGCATCTGCGCCCAGCGGACAACCTTTGAGGCCCGCCCCATATGTACTTATAGTAAGACCGCCCCTGCCGAAACCTATCCCAGCATAGGCCGCCGTTCCTCTCTAGCCCGATCTGCCTCGTCAACTTCATCTCCGGAGTCCATGATCTCCGACGTGCCCTCCCTGATATCATCATTATCGTCCCGCTCATCCCGCTCATCACGATCGTCTTCCATTTCGTCCGTCGCATCAGGGACCTGTGCGCCTGCGCAGCCAAGGTTGGCTACGCGGGCGACTCGTCGATGCGCGAACCTGCAAACTTATTCCCTTGCTGCTCCCGCAGCGAACGAAAGCCGGAAGAAGAACCCGTCGTTCACGGCGGCAACGAGCGTGCCGACGATCGACGAAGGGAGCTGGTCAGAGTTCTACGCGTCGCCAGAGTCGTTCTCCACACCCATTTCTACGGAGTCAAGCAACATGGGAGACCACCAGCACGTCCCCAGCTTCGCCCTGGACGCGTCTTCCATCGATCTAGCCCACGAAGCTGCTCAGGGCCTCTGTGAGCTTTCCGGCGCCCTCCCCCGCTCTTCCTACTTTGCCCCTTCACACCCAATCCCCTCTCGCACCACCACAGTTTCGACCGCCGACTTCTCTACACCACTGTCTGACATTTCCGCCCGCACCTCACGCAAACGCACCCGCACCACCTCCAACGACTTCGCCCTGCACACAAACGTGCGCGAAGGACTCTTCTCCTTCTCTTCTCCTTCCACCTCTACATCATCTTCCACTACTTCCTCCTCCCTCCACGCCCTCCGAAGCGACGAGGATGATGGCAACGCCGTTGTCGCCCCCGATACGCAGGTTGCTGACTCGTTTCTGGTCTCCTCTCATCAATCACACCTACATCATCACCAGCCACAACAACAACAACAACAACGACATATATCACAGCCGCCATCGGCGATCTCTTCGTTTATGAGTGGCGGTGGTGCGGCGAGGTTTGCGCTGCCGCTGCCCCGTAGTAATAGTAATGCGGGGAGTAGTAGTAGTGGTAGTGGCGGCGGCGGCGGCGGCGGCGGTGGTGGTGGTATCAAGCGTGCATGCTGTGCGAAGGAGGCGGCGAGGTTTTTGTGGGGTGTTGGGAGTGGTCCTGGGGTTGGGGTTGGAGTTGTGGGGGGTGAGGGTGGGGAGATTGTGGATTGAGTGGTTTTTTTTATGGGGTAGGGGGAGAAGAGGAAGGAAGATAGGAGGGAAGGGAGTGAGGGGTGGGATGGATGATGGATGTGGTTATTGTGGGGTTTTTTTTTTTTGTAGTTTGTAGTTTTGTAGCAAGTAGGGGATGGTTGTTTAGTTTTTAGTTGTAAATCCAATACAAATTATTTAAATCCCGACTCAGTGGGTTTTTTTTTTTCTTTTCCTTTTCTCCAGTAAGATTATCCAGTATTCAGAAGTGAAACGATAATAGTAATAAAAATAAAAATTTGATATGTCAAATAGTCAAACATGATTTGTCATGTCAGTGTTGTTAATGAATGAATAGATAGATAGATAGATAGAACAGAAGTAACTAATCTTTCCCCCATCCTCTCTATCATAACTAAAAAATCCTAAAGTTCTACTTTTCTCTCTGTACTGTAACTACTGTATTGTTTTCCTTTTGCTTTTGCTCTTCATCATGAAGCATTGTAATGTAGCTGACATGTTATTGGGGGTTTGGAAGGGAATGGAGATAACTAGTTAATGGATTGATTATTCGTTTGGCTAACTAGTTAGTTAGTTAGTTAATACTCTGCGGAGTAACCTACCATATACGACTATTTTTAACCGGAGGAGGGAGGAGGAGGGCACATGGCTGGCAGCCTGGTTGGTTGGTTACGGTTTTTGGGCATTTCAAACTCCGCTCTGCTCTGCTTTATTATATTAATGTATTAGCTTGCTGCGGAATTCGCGGGGGGTGCTGTCACTTCGAGGTGTTGTGTTTTTTTTTTTTTTTTTTTTTTTTTTTTTGTGTTTTTTTGTCTCTCTATGAATTTTTTGCTAAATAATGAGTGTTTCATGTGCACGATGAGCTGTTTGCATAACTAGTTTGAATGGGCTTGTGACATGGACGCATGGTAAATGACTGTTGATTGATTATTGTTCTTTGACATTGCATGGAGTATTTCTGATTGGTTCTTTGTAGCGCCCCTGTAAGGAGCTGAGAAGATGATAGGGATATAACCACCATATGGCCTGATGCCAAGCCTATTATTTTTGGCAGGGAAGAACAGTTATCCGAACCTTATTTTTACACGACGCTTATTCATTGGCTGCAATAGCCGACCATATCTTATCTGATCAATCTTATCGACTCATCCCCCCGTTCCACCCCCGCAACTTCCCAGTTCCCACCCAAGCAAGCAAGTCAAGTTTTGATTCTTTGATTGTTGATAGATCGCTGTGATCACATGGTCTTTGTAAAACATTATAGCTAGAGAAGCTCTGCTTTTCTTTGAACAGTGGAGCCGTCACTCAACATTCAGAGTCTGCGTTTGGATCCGCCTGACTTCCCCGCTCTTTGCATTAAGTCTTCAAGGGTGCACGCTCTGGCTGTTCAAGGGCAAAAAGTAGTCATCGCCATCAATATACGAAAAAAACACACCGATCTACGAACTAACCATGTGGTCGTTGAGCATCTTCGCTCTCGCCGAGCTCCTCCTCTTCTCCTCCCTCGTCGCAGCACTTCCGCCATACATGCGGTTCACCTCCATGGACAGAGCAGCACAAGTCCCAATCACCCCCAACGAGAAAGCAGAGCTTCCAAACTTTCAAGAAACAACAGCGAATTTCCCACATCCAGCCGACCTCGATGACTTCGATGACCTCGACGACGACGACGACGACGACGATGATGACCCCATCCACAAGCCGGAATATACCTTCCCGAGCTGGGACACGACCCACCTCCACGCCCGTCGTCTCCTTGCCCTTTCAACCACCGGTGTCCTATCAACCGTCTACCCAACTAGCTCATCCGTGCACAAGACGTCGCTGGAAGGAGTCCCCATCGGCCTCCCAGATTACATTGCGGATTGCGCAAACGACCCATCGAGCGAACTGACCGATCTGCTCGGGCCCGGAAACCCGCTGATCCTCGCGTTGAATATCGGCACCACGTTCCGCAATACGAAGGCTGGCTCCAATATTTCTCTATCTATCGACTGGTGGCATCATCGGCAGGCTCAGGCTGCCGGGGAAAATGGTGTCTTTGGTGGCGGTGGTGGCGGTGGTGTTGGGCATGATGCTCTTCGAACCAGGGCTGAGCTGCCCCGTTTGTCGCTCCTGGGCTCCCTTGTTCCACTGAAGAATCTGCCGGATAACACTCGCATAGCTGCTGAGAAGTGTTTCCTTGCTGCCCACCCTGACGCTGAGTGGTGGTTACCAGGCCACGATGACACTGCGCATAGTGGCTATTGGGCGAAGTTGGTTGTGGAAGAGGCGTTCTGGGTTGGTGGGTTCGGTGACAGGGCTAGGATTGGGTGGTTGGTTCCTGATATCTGGAGGTCGGTGAGGCGGGATGGGGTGAATGGAAAACAAGGGTGGAGTGATGTTAGATTGCCTGGGGAGTAAATGGGGGAATGGCTATATTTTTAGTCGATCTGCCAGAACTGGCTCTAGGGCATTGTCGATCTTTTGGGAAACGAGACAAACAATTCGGATAAATAGTTTACTGATGTATTAGATAACTACAGAATAACCGTTGAGGTAGTCCACTGAGACAACTGTCGTGTTCCCGAAACGCCAGATGCCCATACAAATAGACATATACCAAAAATGAGGCCGTTTAAATAATTCAATTCATGTCATGTTCGCTATCATCTCCCGACTCGTAGTCATTATTAACTTTACCCCCAGTACCATCTGTATCGTCTTCGCTGGACTCACCCTCGCGCGTGCGATGGGATAAGTGAGCGCTTTCCTCGCCGCTACTGCCATCAGAGTGTGAGTATTCGGCGGATGCTGCACGGCTAATAGAAGCAGGAGACTCATAAATTCCAGGTGAAGATGGTAGCAGCAAGATTGGCGAGGGATCAGATACTATGATTTTGGGATCGGGTGGGGGGGTTTGTACCAGTTGTCGGCCACGAAGATTAGTATTGTTAGTTGGAGCAGCGTAGCGGTAATCTTGGCCGTCGTGGAGGTGGGTTGGCCGCTGTCTGCTTTCCTCACGCTCTCTGATTGGCTTATCAGATCCCGTTTGTGTATTATTGCTCGTGGCCCAGGAACGATCGGGTGGGGCTGGAGTGTACCCATGTGAGGGCGGTGGGTATTCATCATCAGAGTCGACAGGAGCGGGGTCAGGAGCAGGAGCAGGAGCACGAGCAAAATCTACCTTTGCTTTGCTGGGGTTTGTTGGGACGATAGGTGGCTGCCGGGGGGGAAGCTCGTTGCCCTGATATGTTGTCAACCGGTTCAATGTCGACAAAACGAGGGAAGTTTCGTCTGAGGCTTTTGCCTCCTGCCTTTGCTTCTGCTTCTCCAGGTTCTTCTTTAAGATTCGTTCATGAGCATCGTTGTCCAGGAGCCGCACTTGTCGCCGGGATGGTGTTGAATCCCGCCTTCGGGAACGAACATAGCTACGGCCACTCTCCCATGCGTCGTCATTGTGCGCATTCTTGTCGTCCGCAAAGCGACCAGTGTTCCTGATCCGTCGCCACTCTGACTCATGTGGAAAAGCTGGTGGTTCCCTCTCGTAGAAGCGTTCACCTATGCTCTTTCCCGTAGGAGGCTTGCGGGAGCTCGTCCTTAATCGAGGTTGTTGTTCAAACATATCCTCTGTCCTCGATCTCGGATGGATCTCAGACGATCTTCTATATAGCTCAGCGTGGTCAGTAAACCTGTCGCGAGGTCTCATTTCATCGTTCCTTTGCCGTTCTATCCTTCGTCTATTGCCATAAAGAAAAGAGTCGTCGCTATCGCTTAGGTTATCCTGAAACACGATCCTATGTCGTGATTTTGAACTGCGATGCCCTCTTTGAGGTAAATGACTGTCTCTGGCTGGAGGAATATCAGAGCTCTCCGAACCATGTTTCCGGTTCTCGGGCAAGTGGTCCTTGGCTCGACTTTCAGCACTTCGATAAGGTGGGACAGGTAGAAGTTCTTTGTCAGGTTCGTCTATTGGCGGCACTGAAACTTCTTCATCTTCATCTCGACCTGGCACTTGCACTAGTCCGTCAGAACTCGACTGTCCCATATTTTTCCGCGTCGCAAGGACTCGCAGTCCAACATCTTCTTCATTTCGGGCAAATATGCCTGTTCTGATGACCCTTTTGATTGGCTCTAAGTGCAAGACCGTCCATTTCTCCTGGTCCGTCAGAGGTTTGTTCTTTTCGTGATAAAAATTCTGGAATGTAGTACGGTGGTTGGCAGGGAGCCGTGAATACTGGTTCCAAAACTGTTGGGAGTCCTGTTTGCTCCAATTTTCCGAGGGATTTTCTTTGAACTCGCACCACAAACCGGAGCTTGATTCAAAAACCCACGATTCGAACAAGACGGAGTCGTCCCAAGCACCTGAAATTAGAGCAGAGGGTGGTGAACCACTAGCATATGGAACGCGTTTGCTACGTTTCCACAACATCCTAAAAAGGGTAATTAATTAGAATAATAAGTTCAAAAAGTAGGAATAGAAAAAAGGGTTAGTATATAAATAAAGTATGTAAATTAACGTATAAAATGAATAGTTGAGATCTTACCAGCGAGGTTTTCGGTTTGACTTATTGCTCCCAAGCTTGCTATTGCTAGTAGGGTTCCGGTCTGATGAATGATCAATAGTCGTTAAATCATGCCCCAGTGTACGCAAGGCGATCACAGACTGGGTATCGTCGTTGACGTCAACATGTATATTGTCCAGAATTGATTTCATTTGGGTTGATGAGAAGTTGAGCCGCTCTAGTTCGACGCGCAGAGCCTCTTTGGTGGCTGAATTCCGAGATTCTCGTTCCGCTATCTGTTGTTTAAGGGCTTCCTTGTGTGTTTTGCAACACCTAGAGTTTCAATTGCTTTGCGCTCTTTCTCCTCAGCTTCCCTCTTTGCGTCTTCCCGCACACGGAGCAGAGCGAGTTGCTCTTCTTGTCTTTTTCTTTCCCACGCAATTGCTTGCTCCTCCTTGAAATCCATAAATTCGGTTAGTATCCGCTCATCTACAACATCCTCTGCACCACGATATGGAGACTCTCGGTCGCCTTTGCGGTCGGCTTTAATTGCCCTTTGTCTGGCTTTGCTGGCCTTCATCGCTGCCCACTTGCGCGTTTTCTCCACGTTTACGATTTCTGCACAATAAAACATCTTGTCGGCCTCGGTAGATCTGTACAAGGTTAGCAGGCGTCTATCTCTCTATGCAAAATTGTGAATTAAGTGAAGGCGAATGCTTACGCTGAAATAGCCATCACTGAAGTAAAAAGTAGAGTTAGCTCTGATTTTATTCTCTGTAGCTCTGCCCTTGGAACCTCAAGTCTAAACTTGATAAACGGCCATTTAAATTTCGTAAAATAAGATATATCGATTTCCTCTTTCTGCACCAGAGTGTGCGAAGGCGTATATCCTCCTTTGGCTAAAATCGTGCGCAACTCCCTAAGTACCTGTGCGCATTCATCAGAAGCCCGGACCGCACTCTGGATACCCTCTGAGCTGAGTGCGTTTGTTATAGGGTTCGTCTCGACAAGTTTCCCGATATCAAGTAGCCGTTCGCTAGTTGTCCTTATTTCATTCCCAACGCGCCTAATACGGCTCGATGCGTCCTTAACTTCCTCGATGTATTCGATTAAAACTTTCGCTAAGGCAAACCCGACTTGAGCAACGGTGATAATGGCAGACACTCCTTCAATGCCCGCCATGGCACCAGGAGCGCAAGACCAACACGTCTTCTGGAGGCTAGGGAAGCTCTGCCAATACTGTTATTGGGTGCAAAACGAAAGGGCTTAAATATTTGCCATGGCCGCCCGTTTCTCCAAATATCCAAGGAGAAAAATGAAGTAGAACCTCAGTTTACGCTGGCGACTGGCATATTCGTGGCGCCCACCAGCATTCCCTGTGATAGTGTCGCAAGGCTCGAGGGGGGAATCAGCCTCGCGATCTGCACTATAATTAGCCCAACGCTAGACCCCCTTTGAAGGCACCATCAAATTGGTGAGGTGCGAGCGCTGAAGAATTAATCGCTTGGGAAACATGATTACTGTCACGAAGCAATGGTATCTATACGGATTCCATGTGCGAAAATTGAGAAAAGATGTTGACGGGCCAAGAAGGTTGTGCTTAACACGACTTGATTAATGTTCAATGGTGTTACAATATTTGCTGAATCTCACCCGTCGTCGCGAAAAGCTGATGGCGGTTTTAACATTTCTCGACTAATCACAACAGAACCCCTGCCATCGCCAACTCCCGCATCACCTGTGCCGTCCACTCCTGACATCTTCGAATTGGCTCGTCTGGATACAGCCTCCGCGGCCCATCAAATTGCTTCTTCGGTGGTTGAATGCCCAAACAGATGTCCTTAAACGGTTTCTCGTAATCTCCCTGCACAGTACCAAGGAGTGTTTTACTATGGAAAGAGGGTTGTTGCTCAGGTGGTTCGCCTGGCTTGTCTTCGAAGATCATGCCATTCTGTATATTGCCAGTAACTTGGTAAACATGGCCGGAGCCGGTGGTAGGGTTTGTTTCCACAAAAAGCGCATGGTGGTCTCGTGGCATGCCTGTGGACTTGATGAGGTAGACGTTGTAAGGCATTTGGAGTTGATTAGTGGTCGTGATTCGAGAATGCGTTGCCCTCTTTTGAAATGCTATAAAGGTAAATTCACCGTTCGCCGTGCTTGATAGCAAGAATCTTTAGGATAATTCGAAGTTGGATCGTTGCAACCAATCCGTCCAACATACTGGCTCACGTGATAAAGAAGCACAACCTTGGAAGGCAAAGACTATGCGGAAGACCCTCGCATCTTAGTCTGAGAGCAGAATTTATTTCCAATCATTCATCTGATTCTCCTTACTGAGATGCAGATCTCAGTCTTTACTAATTATATAATTTTGTATGTACATCATTGATCAGAGAAAATTCTTCACTACTCTACTATTAATTTAAGATCTATCTTTGATATCTCTAAACTAGACTGCTCCGAGAAAATTATCAAAATCTGATTAAATCTGATTAAATCTGAATAAAGATGAAGACAATCTTTATATACTAGAACTTAATATCATTCTGTTTATTAATTATATATATATAGTGAAAATCATTTTCTTCTAATCTATTGATTAGCTCTCTGCAGTCAAGAGCTGGCCTCATATTGTGAATGTAATCAATAGATCATAGTAAAACCATCTTGTGATGAAGAGAGGATTCAAATCTGCAATTCTGGTGTCTCAGAAAGGTCATCCATCCCCCATAGCCAGTTCCTACTTACCATGGGCCTTCCATGGACAGCACCTTTACCACTACACTATCCACCCCACCCATTCATTCGGGTGAAAGGCTGCCCTTTAGCCCATAACATATAACCATGTAAGGTTGACGATTTGGGTCACAATAGTCTGAGCATTTCCGGCTAGACTTTTATAAGTACGAGCAAATATGTCAAGACTCGGAATTGAGTGCTATAGCTTCTTTCAGAACCTTCCTGACGCTTGCTGATGCACGCCCAACGTCTCCGCCTTCTTGCCTTGCTAGACTTACTCCACGTTCAACAGCGGGTAGGAATCTTTCAGAGAAAACCCTGAACCTATCTTCCCTGGTTTCATACATCTCGCCCTCCTCATTTTTTGGCTGCCCGAATAAATTGAGGTAGGCAAACGGGGCAGACTTGGTCGGCAAAATATGATGGCTTGTCTGAGTAAGTGGGAAGTTCCACTCCTTGTCCTCAATTAAATCACTCTCATCAAGCTCAGGATGCTCCTCGGTAGCGCCGATACCTGATCTTAAAAATTCCGCCAAAGTTTGCAGTGTTCGAACCATAGGTTTGCCATCACTACCGGCTTTTCCAAATGAGGCTCTATTCGACGACCACTTTGCTGATTCTTTCGTATGCCACCCTAAAATAGACAGGAAGCAATTGAGTGTTTTTATCCACCCACCGGGTGAAGAGACCACCTCATGCCCTGCAGTAGTTACCAACCATGAAATGATTTCCACAGAAGATAGTCGTATATCAGCAGCGAGGTGCGTCATGCCCGCGCGGACGTAGGGCAGTAGTTGGGAGACATGTCCCTCCATATCTGGCGCAGGGAGCGATTTTAGAAGCTTAAGAAGCTGATTACGGACCGCATTGCTACCGTCCAGAATCAAGGAAACAAGGGACGGTAATATGACACTGACTGGCTGGGGTAAGGGGGAATTGATCGGACGCGAAACAATGGCTGTCGTCAAGTAGGAAAGCGAGTCCTTGCGCTGGGAATCCGATTTCGAATTTAAAAGAGACAAATAGTGAGTGAACTGTGACGATGCCGATCGTGCTGATGTTGTAAGGGATTGTTGGTTTAGAACGATAGCTGTAAAATCTTAATTAATAACCTTACAATGAAGAGAAGATGTATGTTTACATATGCAGGGGGTGAAAACTCCAGAGGACCATATTTCACCCTGTAAGAGTTGGAGCAAAATTACCTTGGGACCGGAAGCTGGTGTCTGTAAAATTTGAAGGCTTCGGCTTAGTTTTCCCAACTTTCAGTTTCGTTTTCTATTTGGATACAAGTTAGCAATCCTGTACGGTGCATAGGCTAATTTGATATATGGAGTTTTAATACCTGGAAGTCCTTTTTCTTTTCATTCTTTTTTTTCTGGCTGGAACCCATAGTGAGGTTCTGGCGATATGATGCTTATTTTAGGTTATAATCAATCATAAATCCCTCCCCGCATCCGCCAAAAGATAAGATGGCAAACAGCTTTATTCTCGTGAAAACTGCTTGAAATACTGCAAAATGTAAGAGTAGAGACAAATATCATCCAAGGCAGGCTAAGATCTTCAAATGTTTGAAAGTCATTGAATCAATTCACTGTTCACAATGAAGCAGTCACAAGCGCTAGTGATTTAAGTAGCGTGTTTTCCTCGTTAACAACTGTGGTGGATTTATTTTCGGCTCAAGAAATTTTGAATTTGATATTGGAGGCTGAGATAGCCAAAGAGGTAAAAGTTAGCTTAGCTACTAAGTTATATCTCGGTTCCTCGGCAAAATGTAAGTCCGGTCTGCTAGTTAACTCCGTTGTCGCAGCCATTTGCTTAGATCTCCGCAAAACAACTCCGCAAAACATCGCATTTCGTGCATCTGGAATCTCTTACATTTATTTACCTGTTAAACCTCACCTATATTAGTATATTAAGATAATTTAAAGAAATTTAAAAAGCATCTCTCCCGCTCAAAATCGACTTCTTACTTGTTTTGTTCATTCGTTGCCGGACCTCACCCTTCAACCTAACATATCAACACCCCTCACTCCGTCGGAATAGTCCAAATGGCAGCAGTGAGTAACTGTCTCAAACCAACCAATTAAAACGAATTATATCGAACTAACAAAAAGCCAATGTATACAGCCCCCTCAACTTTCCCGACAGTTTTCTGCCCATCTATCAAACCTCACATCCCGCCCCGGTGTCCAATCTACCCTCATCTTATCACGGAAAGATGGATCTATAATACGCACAACTGGTCTCCTTGCCACACGCTCGAACCCCTCCCCCACGCGTCAAACCCCAACTCCAACACCGGCGTCCATATCCGATCCCATTCCTCCCGCCGCCTCCCCAACTCCAGACCAGCAAGCAACATATCCAGACCCGACAAACACGAGCATAGACGATAGAGGAGCGAATACCGCTCAACAGCAAGCACAAGAACAACAACCACCAGCCGCTCCGTATGAGCCCAGCCAAGCAGAAACATTAGCCGCACACATATTTGCATTTGTATCCTCTGCTTCGGCTCTGAGCACGTCATTATCGAAGCCACCGCCATCATCAACATCAAATGGCGGAAACAGCGGCGGTAGCAGTAATGAGTCGGATTATGGTGGATCTGGCATGACTGGTGGGGCCGCTGCGGCGACTAGCAACGGTCATGCAAGGAATGATAGCGCGGATAGCGAGGGACATGAGCGTGAAGAGGATGACGAGCTGAAACTGCTCCGGTTGCGGACGAAAATTCATGAGATTATAATTATTCCGGATCGGAAGTTTTTGCTATGTGTTGTGCATGATCTTTCTACTGCTACTGGGGGCTCTGCTGCTGGTGGTGGGAGCAAGGGAGGGGGGTTTAGTAGGTAATAACCATTTCATGGGTGGGGTGGAAGGGGGATGGATCTGGATTTGGGGAGGTTGGGATATGGGATATGATATGGATGAGATATCGCAAGGGGCAAATCTATCTTTTTTCTTCCTGACAGGCAGCGAGGCGCGAGACATAATGACACAGTTTTGTTTTGAACTTTTGATACCCCGGTTGGCAAACCCTTTGAAGGTATGAATTACATGTATCCAGCGTCACCCTTTACATGATATACAATTTAATATAAATGGGAAAGATCCAGCATTCACCTATTGGCTTCACCTCTCCTAGTTAAGGTCACGTACTAAGACTAGGTTATGTGAGACCGTACTCTTCGGCACTGGTTTCTAGGGGATAGACTTGGCGGATATGCCGAACGGGGAGATGATACCTAGATATTTATGCATAGGGGAGAGAAAATGTGGTTCAACGTGGTCAAAGTTGCGAACGTATAATCATACATTCATGATAATCTCCGGAAGCACGCATTTCATCCTCGCTCTAACTCATTTAGCAGGCAAATAAGGACACCTTCCCACAGCTGACATTCTGAAACCTGTATCTCGTGTGGACTATGAGCATTACAAAGACCAGACTTCTCCCATGTTCCTTTCGAAAGATCGAATACTTGCAGCAACGTTAAACAGTAAGGAGTACGCCAGCGAGCACGCGGCTCTCATGACAACGACACACAAAGACGCTCCCCTGCCTCCTAGATATGAAACATCCTACGCCTACCCCTCGCGTAATCCTTCGTAAGGTTCTTGGGCGCAATTATTTCTTATTGCCTACGTCGCGAAACAAAACAAGAAGCAGAACCCGTCAGCAGCTCGTCCCCATTAGCAGAAGTCCATCCAGGACTTTACAAAATATTGAGACTTACCACCCCCGTCAAGTGTTTCCGAGGCGGTTTCCGATGCCTTGGACGCTGCATCCTTGGCTGACTCTGAAGCTGATCCGGCACTCTGTTTTGCGGTCTCAACGCCCTGCTGCACCGACTCGGAAAGCTTCTGGGCAGTAGTCTTAGAGTCTCCTGTATTTAAGACAGGTACTGTTAATCTATGTCTGTAGCTCTGAGAGGAGGATGTTTTGATTTGTGAACGGAGCTGCTTGTCTACGACCTAGGTAAAACTGGGTATGAAGCGGGGCGGAAGAGCTGGGCGGGGGAGCTGGGAGTGTATTTGACGCACCTGGTTGGGTGGCTCCCTTCATCTTATCATCAATATCGCCGGAGCCCTGAGATCCTGGGTCTGCCATGGTGTGTTGGCTGAGATAGTTTTGTGACCGTGTGGCGGTGATCCGCTCGGGAGATATGTATTAAGTATTTATTATGGATGTTACTATTGGAGTATACGATGGTGGTGGGAAAAGGAGCAGTAGGTAGTTGCGTTGTAAGAAACATGGGGAGTGGGAAATCTTGGGATGCTCCAGGGTTCATCTCTAGTTAATAAATAAGACAAGTGACGGTACAGTTATGTCATCCCGCCCGCACCTTCAGCAGTCAGCGGGTGCGCGACACGGGTACCCATCCCAATCATTATCATTACCCCTGATACATGACTATCAACGCGAGGCCTGATCCAATTCGCTATGCATCTCTTGCTTGTATAGTCGAATATTGCTGGAGGGTTGAAGTGTGAAACTGAACATTCTGTTTAAAAAAGAGTAGGAAAGAGATACACATAACAGTTACGGTTAAACCAGTAATTGCGTACCAAATACGCCTAGGAAAATTACCAAATAGCTCCCAAACCCAACGCTAGGCAAAGAAATAAAATTCAAGGTAGGAAGAAGAAAGAATAGAAGGAAAGCGAAATAGCCACTTAGTAGGGTTGAATTAGCTTTCCTCTATATCCGCCCCACCACCTGCATAATCAGGTCTTTCTGCAGATTCATACTCCGCAATGAGATCCATAACCACAGCCCTAGCCTCATCAAACTCCCCCAGTCCATCCGCAAAGGGGGCTTCCTTCTTATATTGCTCCAAGAACGCATTTCGCTTCCGCAGCCGATCATACTGGCTAACAATTCTCTTGAAGAGGGTTGCCACAGAGGTGTGATTTGCTAGCATTAGCCCGCTCACCCTATGCGTGTTTGGCAGATACGGAGAACGTTTGGGAACAGCTACGTGGATGCTAGCCGGGCCCCACGGGATGAATGTGGCTAGGCGACGTTCACGGATCCTGAGAATCGATTTATCAACATCCGTTTGAGCTGCTTCACCCTGGATGATATTGAATATGCTGATATAGCAGCTGGATTTGCTGGGTGTGATTGACACCATGCGGTTTTTTGGTTGGAGGAGTCGACGCATGACATCTAGTACGGTTGTCTTTCGGATTGTCTTTGCTTGCTCGACATTATCCCCAGTAAAGGGTGTGTATGACGTGATAAGGAATCGGGTTCGAGGGTCTGGTATGAGATTCGCCAGGATGCTGACGAGGTCGTTATGCATGTATCCGGGGTATCGAAGGGTGGTGGTGGATGCAGACATAACAGTAGAAACCTACAGAGTATCAGTAATCGTGCAAAGGACGCTGTCTTGATCAATACTCACCAATTGATTGGTTTGTTGAAATGAAGGCTCTTGAACATGTAATCTATCCGCAGCGATTCGTGAGAGGGCACCATTGTCCACGACAACCTAATTAAGAAGATAAGTGAGTGGCTCTGAAAATACAAGTAGCTAACTCTCCTTCACATACCACTGAATCAGCATTCTGTGTCAATCTTCTCATGGCCAACAGGCTATTATAGGGATTGACTACGACATCAGCCGCCTGGGTGTCAGGAAACACGGAGTAGGTCTGGATTAATTTTTTGGGGAATCGATCGTTCATTCGTTCAAGAATATAACTCCCCAATCCGGATCCGGTTCCACCTGCGATGGAATGAAGCAACATAAATCCCTATACTGATTGTTAGAGACCCAAACCTCTTGGCAGTAACAACTTTATAACCGACGGACCTCTAACGAATCGCTGCCATCTGCCTCACGATCTATCATATCGAACACTTCTTCTTGCACAATTTCACCGGCTGCATATCCGGCAGCCCAGTTATTGCCAGCACCGATCCCTTGTCTACCAATGAAGAAGTTCTCGGGATTGTAGATGTTGCGATATGCGCCGGTTTGGATGGTATTGAGAACCTGAATTTTGCATAGGACCAAATCATTAGCGAAAATGCCTTGCATGACCCCTATATAAAGGTCACCGTCAGTTTCTTAGGGTAGATCATACTCTTGGTTCTAGGTCAAGCAATATTGCTCGAGGAATGTATCGTGTATCGTCGCTCTATAGTCCACAGACGCTCAATTATTAGCACTGCATAACCCTTCCAAATTCGAATTCAATCCACATTCCGCATGCGTGAGGTAACTAACCTGGTAGAAAAAGACATCTTTCCGATCTCCCCCCTCAGTCGCAAATTCTGCCAAATTCCCATCTTTGTTTATTCCGTGTTCGAGGCACAGCTGCTGCCAGAACTGACTGCCAACTAAAGCGACAAACCATCAGTTTCCATTTCAAATGCTCGCGCCATTTATCCTAGCCAATTGAAGAGTGTTCTAGCTGTGCAGCTTAACATCGCACCGGGAATGATTGCAGAGAGCTTGGTGTGTGGGATATGCTCCGGGCTGTGAATTTTGTTCGCTCTTGATGGTCCGACGTACGTACCATTGTTACCGCACTGGCCGGCCTGGATTGTTATTATCTCTCTAGAAGCGGACAGGAATTAGTAAACTTAACAAAGGAAAGATACGACAGAATATATGACACGCACGGCCATGAGCTGGGGTTTAATATACCTTGGCATCTTGTCGACTTTGCTCGAAGCTGGTGCTTGATTTCGAGAACGCGTCGTCGCGTGGTGGAGGGAAAGGTTGGCGGGGATATTTTACATTGGTCCCGCCGTTGTCATATATTTGTCACTAACTACACCTGATATTGAAATATTTGAATACCAACGGGCAAACGCAGCCACCACTGGCTCTAATTAAACATGCTAATTACTTCTGGCATCGATGATTATGGAGGGTTTATCGATAAGTATTATACTAAATATTCTCGTCAAGCTGACTATCAATGACCTAATTTACATTGCTTGACCAGTTGTTCCACCCCCGCAACAACTCCGTCAACAATTACAACCTTTTCTCCCTGCAACGGACCAAGCGCTCTTATGCATCCTTGTCGGACAGCTCTGTCCATGCCTGCCATGCCAGCGCAACCGAGACATATGGCTGCTACTTGTTTCCCAGCTCTGTTAATTAACCGCTCAGTCGCTTCGACCATTCTTGTCTCGACCTCTTCTGCTGGCCTAGTATGCAACTCAACTGCACTAAGCCCCGTCGTCTCGACCCCAGCAAACAATGGTTCCAAGTCCACATTGTCGTCAATGCTGAAATCTGAGGGTCGGCGCAAGAGCTCCGGTACAGCGCGCGCAAATATATCCTTCCATACTTCCCCTGTCGAAATGATTCCGAATGATGGCTTAAATTCAGCACCCCCATCTCCTTCTCCAGAATGGGCGCTGGAATCGATAGAAGAAGTAGAGCGTAGTAGGGAAATACTTTTGGACACGCTTGCCTCGAATATACCAGTCACGTACTTCCTTTTAGGCGGAGTCATTGCTTCTGCTGGAGCAATGCTGACCAGCTCATTCAGCATGCCAACGAGCGGATGGGCTGAGTAGCACGCAACGAGAAAGGCGTCATATTTGGGTATCAGAGGTTTCAAATGGGGTAAACAGTGGAGGGCAGAAAGGGATGAATCAGCGCTGGAGTTGATGCTGGGGATTCCCCTAATTTCCTCCCCATCCGGCCCAAGCGATGGCTCCTGTGGAGCGGTAAAGTAGTCAATGTGGATATTTGGATAGTTGAGGTTTTGGTTAAGGGGTTTGAGCCCATTAGTCATGTGCGTGGATGTGTTAGGATTGATGATGAGGATTGGTCTGAGGTCTGTGCTTCCATCCTCAATCATTATACGTTTCGAGAACTTCAATGTTCGTGACCGTATGGATGCGGAAACGAAAGTAATGATTTGATGACTTCCAACTCCAGAAAGTGGAAAATCCTGATATTGCTAACGATCCCCAAATCTGTATCGAATTACTAACTGCGCCATGAATACTTGGAACCTAGAAGCTCCGCGACTGGACAGGATTCGCAGTCGTCACGTGATGTATTCTATGGCCTGATATCAGCGGGTTTCAAGATATTTCACGGCGAATATCAACATGGTACACATATCATTCTATAGGATAGCAAAGCTTGTACCCTCATTGCTACTCTAATCTATATTAAACGACATCTTTTGATCTACAACGCCTTCCGCTGTCTTACTCAACACAGAGTAAGTACTGCAAATCCAATTCTAGGTAGGTCATCAACCAATACAATTTTCGCCGCCGTTCTAGATATTTTATGAACTCTATATATGTACGCACATCTACATGTACAATGCGGGATAATCAACTAGCTTTTATCCTCGACTTTTTCTTCCTTTTTACCCGCATGTCACTAAGGCATGGTGCAAAGAACACTCTCCCTGTTATCACCTCTCGAATAGTCCCTGCGGAGACGATAATCCACAAAATCAACACGCAGAGCGTCAGGATCTGCCAACAGCAAGTTAGCGGACTCAGGAATGCTTGTCTGAATGACAAATTTGAACAAGAGGATAATACATACAGTGCTGACGACCTTGAAAAATTGAGATGGCATCTCTACCGCCATCAGGATGGTGCAATTAGCGTAAACACCCAATGGGAAGATCGAAGCCCACCATCCCATTGTAAAAGGGATTCTTTTGCACTTGGCAATAGAAATGATCGCAGAGAGCATCCACATGAACCCGAACCCCCAGAGCATCAATGCAAACATAAATCCAACCGCATAGAACACGCCACCAGCAGCGGGATCAAGGGTTTTATTTAGCGGGAAAAATTTCCGCGCGCCTACGCCGAGCTTTAGGATGCTGGGACTAGATCAGCTTTCAAAATGCCACAACCGTGACTCAAGCGGAAGAACCATCAAGTAGTTTCACCACACGCAAAGGGGACTTGGGGAAACGCTTACACAAAACCCCCTTGGCCCATTGGGCCAAGTGGGATACAAGTACTGACGATCACGGACTTTGGTGGCAGCTTGTGTAGTGCCAATCTCTCGAAATATACCGCGAGGATTATCATGGAGAATAACATCCCCAGGCCCCAGAGAAGGTACGAAGCTGAAAGTGGGGGAAATATCAGTATCTCAGATCCAATATATCCCTTATCTCAATATCGCGGATGTGCGCGAAATGTACGAACCTATGATTGTCCACAGACTAAGCTGTGGTGTTGGTAGATTTTCTGCCACAATTGCCCCAGTAGATGCTGCAACGATTGTACTGACGACGGGCAACAGCCATGCCGCCGTCATCGAGGGTAGATCCGACTGCCTTCCAGATGCCATTCTGCCCGCGGTTCAATTAGATTACAGTAATTTCCAAAACAACTCAGATCAGGAAGGAGAAGGAGGAGAAGTAGGAGAGAAAGTTATACTTACAACATAAACGGGAAACCGACAGCACATACAACGGAAATGACTGAGTCAACTATCCAAAGCGCCCAGGCGACTATCTGTACCCAACTTCCCCACGCAGGCGAACAAACCAGGGCAATCATCGACACGACGGTGGAAAACCCCATCGGAAATGTCCCGATGAAAAGTGACTGAACCGGATGCTGGAGCATGACGCGCCAGATCCCGGGCCAGAGGGCATATCGCAAGATCGAGATGGCTAGGAAAATCGTGAACAGAACTGTATTGAGCCCGAATATGCCAACGGATATCCAGTAGAGCCATGTTCCGTTGTATGGGAGATTGAAGAGGAGGATGGAGACAATGCCCGTCCCCATGTTTACGGTGAACCATCTGTATATAGTAGGTCATGAGAGATTAGCAAAAGTTTTGCTTTCCTGTGGCAAGAATGAGATGTCAAGAACAAGATCCCCCCCCCTCCATCTTTCAGAGTGAAAACGAAACTGGGACGACGAGGTATGTAGGGAAAAACGAAGCTTGAATAGGCATATAGCTCAGGTGGGCTCAACATACGAAGGCGTAAAATTCCGCACTATCTTCCTCCACCCGCGATCATTTTTTGCCAGTTCTTCATACTCCTCTCCATCGGCTAGCTGGCTCTCCGGGTCTCTCCCGCTATCTTCCCCACTCCCTTCACACCTTTTGTCCGCATTACCCTCTGGGGCTATGCTATCGCCACTTTCCACACCCGTATCTTCCTGGGAGGTGTGAGATGAATCGGCTGTTCCCGACGGGCAAGCTTGATCGCAATACGTGGGCATTTGGGTGTTCTTCTTCGTCTTCTCCTGCGTCTTCAGCTGTTGCTTTTCTGCGTCTACCGTCTTATTTGTTCGCGACGAAAGGAACGAAAAGTCACGGCCGGAATCGCATCCCAACCTACCTACAAAAGAGGTGAAAAACGTGATTTGCGAGGGGGATTGAGGATATCTAGTTATATATGTACAGAGTATAGATATAAATATATGGAAACATTAGCTGCGACTGGCCTGGGTGCCAGGAATGGATGCATTCGAATTCTCCATCCAAAAAAATGGAATGCAATAATAGATTGCACAGGCTGCAAGTTGAATGGATATTGATTAGTTACAAAGTACAGACAGATATGCAACCCAGAGAAAAATCGTTCAATTTAGATCGACAGACCACGGTTAGGTTCGTCCAAGAGACTTCCGCGGCAAAAATGATGGGTGAGATTGGCTGATGTTACGTCATCGGCTGAGAGGGTATCGGCCGAGGGGAATCCACACCTCGAAATTGCGCATTTTTCATGCATCGTTCGTCACACTTCCCACGAGACCGCATGCAGGAAGTGTGGTGTGTCTATATATCTCGAAAGCAACGTAATTTCCGGAGATCGCACGACATATTAAAATCTGTATGTATGTATGAGTTATACGTATAAAAAGAAGTTGTATAAACTTCTTTTCTCTTTCTTCTCTTTTCTCTTATATCTACACACCCTCCCAAAGGCTACCTATATTAAGCCTTTGGCCCGAACAATGCTTCCACCGTATTATACGTATATTTCAGATCCAAATGCCAATAATTTACCGCCGTCGCCTTTGCAACCAACCAAGCCTCATCCAGTGCCTTCACTACCTCTTCAGGCAACGGGCCCTTCTCAATATCCGCCAAGTTCGCCTGCAACTGCTCGAAGCTGCTCACGCCAACGATAATCCCATCGCGCGACGATGGGTCTGTTCCAATATTCAACGCAGAGTGGTGATGCACCCAGCGAAGCGCGGTCTCGATAAGCGTTAAATTATGTTTCTGCACAACGGGCTCGATGATGCGCAGCGCGTCGAAGTTAGCGTCTCTGAAGTATCGTTTGCGGTAATTGGCGCCTAAGGATCGATCCGCAAAGCGGCCGGTGGCTGGTATCTCGGTGGATTTGTATTTACCGGATAACAGGCCGCCGGCTAACGGGTTGTAAATTACCACGTCGATACCGTAGCGTCTGCAGGCGGGGATTAGCTCTGTTTCAATCGAGCGGGCTGGAAGGCGTTGAAGGAGTGGTAGCAGTTAGCGGGGTTTATTTTCCTGCTGTGTGCCTAGGACGTGATTGAAGGCGTCGACAACTCACTGATGGTATTATACATGGCCTGATAGATCGTTGGCCTCACCCAACCGCGCTCATTGCACATAGTGACAATCTCGGCAACTTCGAAGGCAGTATAATTGCTCAATCCAAGTTGCACAAATTTCCTTTCCTTATGCAGCTCGTTGACAGCTTCTAACGTCTCCGCAAAGGGGACGGATCTATCCGCCGCATGTAGGTAAAAAATATCTACACAATCCGTCTGCAGCTCCTTCAGCGACTCATCGAGCTTCTCTTTCACTACATTGGCGTGGTGGTAGCCTGGTTGGGAAGGGTACCATTTGGTTGCGAGGGTGAGACCCCGTTCCTTCCAGCCTGCCCGCGCCGTAAAGGCTTCCTGTTTCCCGTCAACATAAATGCGCGCGGTGTCAGTTTCGTTATAGCCTTGCTGCTGGAAATAGTCAAGACATTTTTTGTATTCGTCCAGGGAAGTTATGCGTGAGCCCGCGTCACGATCGGGACCAAAGGTCATTAAACCGAGAATGACGCGAGGTTTGACATTCTGCGCGACGAGAGGCATACTGAGAAGCGGAAATGAGGTTTCTAACTGTTGGGTGGTGGAGGAATCGGTTTGAACGTGTGATTAGCCGATGGACATTCAGTGGAGTTACTAGATTTCCGAACGGATAAGTTTGGCCGATTTGCAGCAACGATTCCAATTTATAAGATTCAGTTTCACCAATTCGCGCAGTTGTTGCATTGATAATATTTTTAGGCGCCAATATGCGGGGTATTGGTGGTCTCATATACTCCGTACGGAGTACACCAGGGCTTTGCACGGTTAGCTTATGACGCGGGCCAAAGTCAATCTGGAGATTGGGGCAGGAAATTAAACTTTGCCGCGGATGAGCGCCAAGCAAAACTGGCGTTTTCTCCACAGAGAGCCCAGGCTTAAATTGAAGTGAATAATAAAACGAAACTTGAACAACAATGTGCCAAGTGTCCCACTGACGTAGAGCTCGTTAAAGCTGATATTTAGCGCTCCAAGGGTCCATTACTGCAAATCGAAGTTTTGAGTAGGTCCCGAGCGCGTTAAGAGCCAAGCTCCAATAGATCGCTTGAAGAAAGCTACAGGGTATTTAGAAACATGCTAAAATACATGCTATCTGCATTGTAAGATAGTGGAGGATTCATCCTCTGTCTTTACTGAAAATTTTCCGTTTCTTGAAATTGCTGTGCTTCATGGTTCCGAGCGCTACAGCAGGGTTGTGTTCTCTTTCTGTTTGACGTCCCACATTGTCGGTTTTACTCAACCGTGCACTTCGCAACGGATTGGTGTGCATGATTTGGGATCTAGGCATCGTGGAACCCCTTCTGCTCGGGGTTTATTGACTGGGGGTTTGCACGAGCTCGCAGGCTGCTGCTGATCATGCGACATTCTCTTCGCTTTGGTTGTTCTTGATAGGTTAGAGGGACCTGAAGTTTGCTGCATATTCCTCCGCGTAGACCGTTGGGTTGTTGTGGGGTTTGGTAAGTGTGAAGAATCGGACTGGCTTCCATCACGCGATGTCGAAGTGTTTGGATTTCCTGCTGCGGAAGCGGATTGGACAGTATCTGTGTCAATTTAGTTTTGAAAGGTATCTACGTTAGCTAGTAAACCTTACTTGTCTTACAGTGCTTTGATGAGAAGTTGCCAGTGACTCTAGCTTCCTTTACAAGTTTTCTTTTCCCGTGGGCATTCATCTGGTCCCCTATCTGATTGGAAGCTTCCGGAAGCATCGCATCTTTCTTCTCATTCATTTGGCTTCTTTGTGTCGCTGGGTTATGCAGAGTGTTATTAGGATGGACATCTCTCTCTCCAATGTGGACAGGTGGTATTGAAGCAGGTGGCCAGGTTTGCTCCATATATTGTGAAATCTCTGGAGTTATAGGCTCTGGTGACGGCAGGGGGAAGGCACTAGTTGGCATTGTTGTGACAGACCTTGTCTGTCGTTTTGCTAGACAGCCGGGATTTTCAAGATATCGCCTTTCGGTCTCCCAGAATTCAGGGGACTGAATTTTCTTCAAGACCGCCATAGGGTCGAGCCTGGGAAGATCGTGCAATTTACACTTTTCTAGCAACAGTCGCGCGGAATTTTTGGACGTAGCTTTAAGACTTTCTAAGCTGTGGTAGCCCTGGCCAGATTCAATTACAACATGTGAAAGCCTTGCCTCCCTCGCCTTGGCAGCAATCTGTGTCGCCATATATCTGTGGTAATTCAAGTCATCGACTTCTAGAAGGCAGGCGATCCCCAGCGTACACTGATGCGGTTCATGCGTAGTCAAAGTTGTTGAAAATGGACACAGCTTCTCTGGGCCGCGCGAGATCGGTGCATTGGAAGGTGGGCACGGAGATGGGGTTCGCTTGTATGGTCTGGGGTCACCAAATTCTTTTCTAATCGTTTTGCTCCTATATTCTTCGCCCGTAGTACCCCAAGGTGTAGTTGAAGACGAGGGTTCATATATTCCTCGGTTTGCCAGTCGTTTAGTCAGCTTTGTTAGATTTCTTTTTGTTAAAGGAGCCAACTCTGAAGCGTGCTCACAGCTAGCCTTCCAGTAGTAGGAGTCATTATGGCGACGGAGGGAATTGGAAGATCGGCCAGCGTGATCGGGCAAAACGACTTCTGCGAATCTCAGAGGTTGACCGTTGGTGGTGCGCGAGTTGAAGGGACATAATCCATTTCCGTGTGTTCTGGAATGTAGTATCGCTGGCGTAGACGGCCATAGGCGAGTCCGAATCGCCATTAATCCCTCGCAGTGGTGACTCCATCGCCAACAACGGGTTGATCGAAGAACACGGTGAGTGTCAGCACGTTTGCAGTAACCGTGCCAAGCGCACTCTCTCTAGTGAGTGCGCCCCAGCTTAACCGTAATATCACCGCAACCATAATATTTTAATTTTTATGAAAAACATGAATATCTTCAACATTATTGTAGATATGAGCTTCAGATGAAAATAGAAGTATATGTATCATATTCTAAGTATATTATAATATTCTTTTCTAAATAAAAATAAGTGATTCTCTCATACTTGAAATCTGCTATGCTAAATTTGTTCCAATTTTCATTCTAGATATATTTTTATTTAGAAAATCATATTGTAATATACTTATTAGAATATGATACATATACTTCTATTATAATAGAGGACTCATATCTATTATGATGTTGAAGATATTCATGTTTTTCTATAAGTACCTTTTGTATGATGAACTCATACAAAAGGTACCTTTACGGTTGCGGTGATATTACGGTTACGCTGGGGCGCACTCACTAGAGAGAGTGAGTGCGCTTGGCACGGTTAGTTGCATATAAGAGCGCTAACACCACGCACCCAAAATCAGCCACACGAACCCTGGTCGGCATCAGTGGTAAAAATGTTTTTCTAGCACACAAGCCTTGGGGTGCTAATTATTGTGGAGCTAGTCTGCATTAGGAAATAGTGATTCTATAGGCAGACTGTAATTTAGAGGGATTCTGCGGCGCCAAGTCGCATGAAATATTTAGTACGCACGGCCTTCCTATATAGGCATAGATGCCACGATTCGGCGCTGCTGTGGCATAGGCCTTGTAAATATTATTGTATTCATCTAATTGGGTAATCCATCACTGTTGGACTGGCCGTGACCGTGTCTGGGACCAGGACCAAAATACTTTGATAGTCTCATTACCAAATTGGTTGATCCCATTATTAGTTAGTTACACAGTACGGAGTACGGAGTACAGTCCAGCCACTTCCCCCTTTCAGATCGTCCCGGTGCAATTTCCTCATTATTGGCGCCACCACAGCACCCGTGCCTGATTGCGACGTTGATTGTTTTCCAGATCCCCAGCTTCTAACACGAAGCTAACCTCAGAGCTTTCCCAGGCCCCTGCCAGTGGTGGACCAGCTTTCCAACAGGCCTTAATATTCCAGAGGGATCCGCATGGATGCCTTTGCCAACGCCTCCGAAGTCCAAACGGGCCGAAGCTATTGATGACTCCGGTATTGATCCCGATTCCGAACGTCCTCTTCTACACTCCCGACGCTCGTCTGGACTTAGCCAGACCTCGAGGACCTCGCAGCGACAGGGCGTCCCCTGTCGTCCCTCTGACAACAACTGCCTCAATGGCTTAAACTCGAAGAGTTCCTCCAAGCAAAGATCTTCCGTAAGATTCTCGCGTCAACACCACGACAAGGGTGAATCCACGGACGAGTCTGACGAGGACGAAACAATGACCACCAATCGGCCTCCCTCGAACCGGATAGGGGATCGCCGGTCCAAGTCACAGGTGCCCTTGTTGAGGAAGGATGAGGAACGGGGCCGGCGGCTGAGCAGTCCAGTTTCTGCTGATGGCAATGAGGTGACTCGGCCTAGTTATATGACGAGGAGGAGGTCGGCATTGAGAAGTAGAACTCCTGAGTATGACCCTCAAAATGCTACACGGAGGAAATACTATATCGCCTCATTCTTCCTCGTGGTGAGCTTGGTGAGTTTTGTCGTCCAGACGGAAACGGCTGTTTATATTCAGCATAACTTAGGATGGGAGAAACCGTACTGCATGCTGTGAGTCTTCAGTTATTATTTGAGCACAAAGGGACAATATGATTTGGAATACTAAAGGTGTTTCCAATATATTTATTCCGCCTTGAATCTTCCTCATCATAAATTCTAATCTTTTTCCATTCATCCTTATCTTTGCCGTATAGTTATTTAACCCATGGATCTTGGATTTTCCTTTGGCCTATGCAATTGCTGTTACTCCGAATCCAGAAACGTAAACTTTCATGGGATGCATTTTGGAGACGGCATGTCTATCTTCTCCGGACCACGGCGCAGATGGTCGAATCCCGTAATCTTCACCTCACCACCCGAGACCTCCATCACTCACCAATCCCTTACATACTCCGAACCACTGCACTGATTACAACCGCGCTGACTGTTGCCGGTGGTTCATGGTACGTCGCCGTCAACTTAACGACCGCGAGCGATCTGACGGCAATTTACAATTGTTCTGCCTTTTTTGCCTACGCCTTTTCCATTCCACTCCTTAATGACAAACTACGATTCGACAAAGTATTTTCTGTCGTCGTTGCCATCATTGGTGTGCTTGTTGTTGCCTATGGGCCTTCTAGCCCTCCTCCGGAAAATGGGGGTGATGCAGCCCAAGATGCAAAGGATGCGTCGAGCAGAGCTCTGGGCAACATCATCATCGGTGTGGGTAGTATTCTTTACGGTTTATATGAGGTCTTGTATAAGAGAATGGCTTGTCCTCCGGAAGGCACAAGCACGGGGCGTGGTGTGACATTCGCAAATACTTTTGCAAGTCTGATCGGGGCCTTCACGTTATTTGTCCTCTGGATACCCTTGCCGGTTTTCCACATTCTTGGTATTGAGACGTTCGAGTTGCCGCGCGGCCAAGCGGCAAGTCTTCTACTCATATCCGTGATTGCAAATGCTAGTATGTTTAATCTTTCTCCATCTTCGCTGACGAACCCAGCAATTGGGGCATTTCGCACACATGTTGCTAGTCTTTTACTCAGCTAACTCACTAAAACCCCCGACACAGCATTCTCCGGCTCCTTCCTTGTCCTTATCTCCCTAACCTCCCCCGTGTTATCCTCAGTCGCCGCCCTCCTCACAATCTTCCTGGTCGCCATCGTCGACTGGAAGTTAACGGGTATACCCCTCAGCTCCGCCTCGATATACGGGGGCATCCTTATCATCATTGCCTTCTTGCTCCTTAGCTGGAGTACATATCGTGAGTTAGACGAAGATAGACGGAAACGATCAGCCGACAATAGACCGGATTCTGAAAGTGATGTGTAATTTAATTTAAAAGCAATTCGCACATCACACACCACCAGAGCCTAAGATGAGAAGTTGTATGTACAATGCATTGCAGGTGAAATTGAGGAATGTTTGATCGATATGAAAGCATACACATACCCTTATGCGATTCCCCATGTGTCAGATGGGGAAATCTGGTACGCATGAGTCACACTGCAGATTTATCAAAATACTATGAGAATCTGCCTTGTCCTTTTCGTCTTCTTTTATTGTCCCCTTACGCCCATTTATATATTCTGATTAGTTCATGACCTCCCTCATTTTCCCTGCTCCTCTTCTTTTCCCTTTTTATTTCCTCATTTCATATCGAACCCCCTTTTTATGTGACATGACATAAAGGAAGATTTTTAACAAGGAAGAAAAAAACCCAACATATTTTAACATTGTTACTGGGCGGCTATATTCACTCACATTCGTATATCATGTTCATTTCTCAACCCTTTTTCCCACCACAGGATCTAGATAAATTTTCTTTTCTTGGGTATTTTAACTTTTTCTTTCTTTTCCAGTATCACTCCTTTTTTTTCATTCTCATTTCCTTGATCTCGTCAACTTTGTATTTTATATATATTTAGGTACCTTGACTACATAGCGTATAACATGCAAGGACAAGAACGATCAAGCCTTTCGCCCTCATAGCGGTGTTGCTACGCCGCACACCTTCACACCTGGGACTGTGTGTGGAAACTCCCGAGCGTCATTAACTCCCACACAAACCCCATACGCGTATTTTTTTCTTCCGTTGGCCTTTTTTTCTTTCTTAATCTTCCTCCATCCTCCCACCCCCCCTTTTTTGGCATAAACTGATTCACAAAAACCCTTGCAGAAATATCCCCTGACGCTCAGATTTTCTGCGCTATGTATTAAATTGCTTTCCATGGTCGTTGGCTATTTATTACCTTACCCTCTTTCTCCTCCCTTTTTCGTTTGTGGGGTGATAGTCCACATGTTTTTATCATGTAAGTAAGGAATTTTTGCCGTTGAATTACTTTATTTTAGGACTTATTTTATCCGCCGGGTTTTCTTTTTTCTTTATATATATATATATACACTCACTTGCCTCTAGTCCGACGGTTCTATGTACATACCCTTTGTTTCCGCCCGTGCTACCCTTCTTTCTTTCATTTTTTGAAATGTACACGCACATGTACGTACATCGTTACCGCGAGAATAGGGTGAAATCACACTTGGTTCTCTCTTGTGGAATTTGATATACTTTGGATCACCCGAGGAGGGAAGGGGTGTGCTGAGGGAGGGTTGTTGAATTTGTTTGGTGATAGATCTTTAGATATAGATGGGTGGATGGCGTGGTTCGCTGTTTTAGATATATGTATGTATGAAAGATATATTCGTAGGGAGCATACGTCGTTAACTAATTTAGAGCCATTTCATCTGCATTGCGTTTCTACTTCATTTTAGTTTTGGTGTGTAGTATATTAAGTGTTACAGGGGGAGAGCGGACCTCTGCGAGGTCCCTGTGGATGCATTCGTTCCTTGTTTTGAAGATACGAAGTGTAGCTTAACTAATAACCTATATCGTACGCTACAAGCAGCTCTCGGAACTCGCTAAGTGAAGCAAAATGGAGTTAAATAAATAACAGAGGAGAGAAAAGAAATATACGCGCTCTAAATCTGGACAGCGAACTTATTGTAGCAAGACCCCTCCGCGAACGAATGTGTGCCGTAGGGACAAAAAGACGCAACGAATAAATTGTGGGTGGGCGGGTCGATGGAGGATATGTCTCGCGCGAACTATATGATCTACAGAATGTAGGGTTCGTGAATGGGGTGATTTGAAAAGAAAGGGGTAGTTTGAGGACCAAAAAAAAAAAAAAAAAAAAAAAAATGGAGGCGAGACGGGCAGGAGAGTGTCACTATTCATGCCCTACTCTACTGTACGTAGCAAATTTTATTGTATTGTAGCCATGCGCTCAAGATGTAGTTATTTGCCAAGTGGGGGAAAAGAAGAAAGCAAAATAGTATTGGGTAAGTAGAACTATCTTGGGCCAAGCTTGGTGAGGGCACCGGGGCCTTGTTCTTGCCATTCTTCTTTGGAGATCCACATGTTGTCTTTGTCTGCGAGCTGTATTGTTGGGGTAAAAGAAAAAGTGTTAGTGTTTTACATGTTCTATGTGTAGTTTGCGTAGAATAGATGGGAATGGTGTATGGCTTACAAGGTTTGCGAGGACGGCACCGCCAAGGAAGACCATGTGTCTTCTTCGAGGCGGATCTTCGATGCGGACTTTGAATTTCTGCAAACATCGAGATGGTTAGCGTATGACGAGTATGGAGGACGGCTAACATCTCGAACGTCCTGCCTTTCCAGGACTCGACTTACATTTAGTCTCTCCGGGTTCCCTTGCAGCACCCTTGTCAACCAGAGTTGTTTCAGTTCCTTTTCAAGTCTTGATGGCAGACCGGGATACATGCTGCTACCTCCGCTGAGAACAATAGCCTTATACAAGCTACTCCTCACATCAACATCCGCAGCCTGGATGGTGTTGAATAAGAATTCTGCGATGCCAGGTTGCTCGACATCAACAAGATGCGGCTGGAAAAGACACTCGGGCGCTTCAAACCGCTCACTACCAACTCTGATCACTCTGCCATCTGGGAGGGTATATGATTCCACTAGCACGGTTGTGTCTTCTGAAAGGCGCTGGTCAAGCTCCAGGTCGTAGGATACGTAGCAGAGCTTCTCTTTGATTTGGCGCACGGTCTCGAAGTCAGCGGTACGGTTAAGTGCGTAGCCGCGGCGGAGGAGGAGGGCGATGAGGTTGCGTGTAACATCGCGGCCAGCAACGTCTAGACGGCGCGTTAGGTGGTTTAGCACTGTGGACTCATATACCGGAACGATGTGTGTGACGCCGTCGCCTGAATCAACTACAACACCACTACTGAGGCCTATATATTTCGTTCCAATATCAGTACTTTCAGGTCGTTCTTGGTGTTGAGTTTTGGCGGACCATGGTATCCTCACCTTGCGCATAGAGGGCCAAAACTGCCTGTATAGCAACATATACTCCTCCAAAGTTGTAACCCTCAAACATCACCTCGCACATCTGCTCTCTGTTTTTAAGGGGGTTCATAGGAGGTTCGGTAAGGAGGATCTTCCGGCCTGTGGGATCAATTTTCATTTTATCGTAAAACGTATAGTTCCATAGATGTTGCATATCATCCCACTTCTTCACAATTCCATTCTCCATCTATATATAGGATAGCGCGCCCGATTAGTGACCCGAGCGCACGCAAAGGGGGGGGGGGGGGGGGGGGGGGAGAAATCTCGAAAAGTGGCGGAGGTTCTCATACAGGATAGCTGATTTGTAGCATCGATCTAGCAGCGGCAGCCTCATCACCACACATAATATCCTTCACGATAATATCCCCAGCCTGCTCCTCTGATCTGAGAATCGGCCGCCCCACTATCGAGGGGAACTGGTGTTCGGGGAAGTTCTATTTCAAGTGGAATTGACCTCCGGTATTAGCGATAGCTCCTCGTAGAGACCAAGCATACGATTGGGAAATGCCATACCTGACCCGCATATCCGACTTTCAGGAAACCGGTACCTCCATCGAGAACTGCGTATCGCGGCGTCAGCGGAAGTTACTGGTTGCGGGGAGGTTGACGTTGGGGGCTGAACATACCAATGGGGGGCTCCGCCATGGTCGCGATGTGTTATATTGGTGAATGGTAGACTGAAGGACTGCCCACAATATAGGGAGAGAGATAGAGGAGTGTGGGTGGTAGTAATGGGTGTGTCGTAGCGGTGCTGTTTGGCTAACTGTCGGAGTTGCCAATCGAGATTCCCCTTGTCCCGCTGCGGATGGGGGGTGACGATGCTCCCAATGCAGTTTAGCGCACCCACTGCCTCAACCACGGCTCTCAACTTCACACTTCACCACCACCACAACATTTGCTGCAATAACTTACAACTTAATATATATTGCTTGCGTCGACAAGGCCATGTTGTAATGCGGGCTGTTGATTCTATTCTAGGGTCCTTGAGATCCGGGTTCTAGTTACAGTGTGGTCTTCGTCGCAGCAGCAGCCAACAGTCACCAATCTCCGATATTTTGAACTTTGGCCTTTCCAGTCGCTGATGCATATGGGTAGACCTTTTTATTCTCTTGCCATCTTTAGTATGAAGAAGATCTTTAGCTTCTTTTGCATCTTGAACGATTTCCAGTCAAGCATGTTTTACATTTAACGTTATTTATATGTTCCTGTCAGCGGATTGGTCCAATATTTGCTCTCATTCTCTGGAGCAGAGATGTCTACGGCGATCTTTATGATATATGCGCTTACTATGAATTTTCTTACTCTTATTCCGGGGAGCTGGGCTTCATGCCGTTTTGTTCCGGGGAGCAGCGCGGTTAGAAATTCTGGCACCCCGAGTTATTATCCCCAGGCATGAGATGGAGGGACATGCTTATGCCCTACCAAGAACGTCCACAGCACTTGATGTCCTTGGACTACTTATAGGACCGTGTAGATGATGGAGTGACCTCAGAGCGGGTTCTCACTCTACTGGGTCCGAATGAATGACGATCGCATACCGCGCAGCAGGGAAATAGTCATTTTCCCAGGCACTTGATGTTCTACCTCTCCTTGAACAAGGACTATCTATGGATGGACTTGTCCAAAGTTGATGTCTACTGTACAAGGTGGCGTTATCATTGATGCTTGTGGTAGGCAGACACAACGGGGTATCTAGCCGGAGGGACCGCCTGCCCATTGCCAAACCGACTCAATACATCCGCTCTCCATAGAGCTATTTCAAGATTTACGCAGTCGATGCGTATATAGGGCCGTTCATGTTCGCATGGATGGATTCCAGAAGCTGCATCCGTAGTCTACGTGAAGTGGCGGGCAGACTACAGAAGCGAACGGCGGGCGTTACTGCTTGACTGAGAGATTCCTATCACAGCTAGAACTTTCCGCGCCAGAAACGGATGCCCCTGCCGGGAGGCGCTCCCCCTGGGGTTACCCAAATAGAATGATCAAGAGTGTTCCTTCCTCTCCAACTGTGCGCCTCTCTCACAGCTGAGTTTCGCATCGGTTGACATAACGCCAATTTGAACGGCGCTAAACTCAATTAGGAAATCGCAACCCCCTTTTTAACCTTCAGGGGCAAAGCTGTTGGCCCTCCAGGGCTGTTTTTCGGGTTTGCGCAGGGGCAGGGGCGAGTTCCATTTACGGATGGTGCTGCTGTGTCTCTTGTTCTTCTTACGGTGGCGGCAGGCTACTCTATTGCTGGTTATGGTTTGCTCGAAGTGCTGGATCCCGTTGCTCCCGTTACAAACTTATTTTGCCAGAAAGTATCGGCTTTCGTGCCATACAATAGACTAACCTTCCGTCTGAATGGCGAAAACAGTTCCGAATGACGCAAAAACTAACACTGTGTCTTCGACAAATGACAGGAAAATTTGACCTTTTGTCTTCGCCCGACGCCACATCAGCGCTTCCTCACGGTCCCGAGGAAGGGTATAAAAATCACATCCTCGTCCGCTCCTCTCCCGGTCCCTTTCTTCTTCTTCTTTCTCCCCCCCAGGGGCGCAAAACTATTCTCCTCCCTCCCTTGCAGTGCCCCAAGCCCTCCTGACTACAAGAACTTCCTTTGTATGACCACGACAAGCAGTTCTTCGCTCGCAACATCCACCCGCCATGCAAATCCAGCTCTTTTGGTGAAGCATGTGCACAATAAAGTCCACTTCCATCCAAATCCACCACATCGACCCTTGAGAGATTTCTTTTGTTAAATCTCGGGTCCAACCCTTTTAAAGCCACCACATAAGTTTCGCTAGAAGGTTGCACAAACATATCCTACAAAACCAGTGGTCAGCACCTCGCGAACGACCTTGTGGCTTTCCGTGGAACAAGTGGCAGCGACCAAATAGCAGTCGCAAATCGAGCAAGTCAGTGATCCTGCAACAGGGACATCGGTGCCTTTCAAGTAAGAATTTGCTTCGGCAACTACCTCTGAAAGGTATCCGACCAAACACGGGCCCGACGCTCTCTCAGCGTCGGTATGTGCCTCATTTTATCCTGCTGTTCTGTTCCTATTGATTTTCTTACCATGTACTAAAGTGGTTTCTCTACCAGGAAAACCCTTTCTACTTCTCTACCTCTCTGAAACACGGGCCCGACACTCTCTCAGTGTCGGTATGTGACTCACTTTATCAGTTCCTATCAATTTTCTTACCACGTACTCAAGTCTTTTCTCTGCCAGGGAAAAGCATCTCTACCTCTCTACCTCTCTCCCTCTCTCCCTCTCTCCCTCTCTCCCTCTCTCCCTCTCTCCCTCTCTCCCTCTCTCCCTCTCTCCCTCTCTATATCTCCACGTCAAACTCTCAGACCCTCAAACTCTCAAACCCTTAAACCCTCAAAACCTCAAAACCTCCATGTTCTCAAATATATGAAAATCACGGACTTCTCTATCACAAAGATCAATCACAAAGATCAATCACAATTCCTCTCTCTCTCTCTCTCTCTCTCTCTCTCTCTCTCTTTCACTCACGCACTCTCTCTCACTCTTTCCGGCTACATCCTAATCCATCCCAACCTTCACACCCTCAAATACCTCTCTCAACAACTTTCCCAGTCGGATTCAACCACCACGAACCTCCACTGGCCGCCGTTATCTATTGACTGAACCAAAATTTCCCAAACCCTCTATAGCCAGGTGAGAGAAATAATTAAGCTCCCCGTCCGTTATGGGTTGAAGGGCTTTTTTAAGTCTAGATGTAGAGGTTCACGCATGAGATTTTCCGAAATGGAAACGACCCCAACGAATCATCAAATTCGCGCTTCCGGACAACCGATGGAATGCCCAGCTCCTGCTAGAATCCAGAATCCAGAATCCATGGGCTTTGGTCTTGAATATTTTGATTTTTCTTGATTTCTCTGATTATTTTGACTATTTTGACATTCTTGACACTCTTGACTTTCTTGACTCTTTTGCCTCTTTTGACTCTTTTGACCCTTTTGACTTGCTTGACTTTCTTGACACTTTTGACACTTTTGACTCTTCTCTTCTGACTCTTTTGGACTCTTTTGATTTTTGACATCCTTTTAAATTCTTCAAGCTTTCAAATGCTTTCATCACCTTCTCATCATTCTCTGTCCTGGCCGAAGTTTTTAACTGATGCTACACAAGAACCATCAGATTGTTTCCCTCGGTCGTCAAGCCAAATGGCGGGACTTCATTTAGATTGGTCCTTTGACTTCATTCAAATTCTTTCATTCCTGTATCTAGTTAACCAGTCCTGGCTGAGGTTTTGAACTGATGTTACACAAGAACCATCAGAGCGTTTCCCTCAGTCGTCAAGCCAAATGGCAGGACTTGGTTTAGATAGGTGGCCCTGGTCGAGGTTTTAAACCGAAGTTAACACAAGAACCTTCGGAGTGTTTCCCTCGGCCTCAACAATTTTGTTGAGTCGAATGGCAGGGCTTACAAATCAAAGTTTAACAGATTTGCATTGAGAAACTCCCTCCTATGGTTTTTCTTTCTCTGCGTAGCTCTGTAGCTTGTATATTGTACGGTAGATGATCCTCCCCAAGATAGAGAGAAGTAAATGGTAGGGGACAAGTGTTAAAATGTATACTTGGTTTAACTGCTAAGTATGTAGTTAGAACTAAACGATGTTATGGAGAATTTAGATGGAACTTCGGTAGACAGCAAACCATGAAGTAGTTGGTCATCATTAAAAATCTGGGTATATCTAGCCCCCGCCACGGCCACGTTGGTTTGATGACCTCCATGGCAAGGCGGAAAGAGTATAGCTATAACTACGCATAGCTTTTCAAGCAGCCAGGATTTCACTTCCGCAAATGACTGATACGGGCAAAGACACCGTACAATAACAGTAATAACCCTCAATCCGATATTACACGTCTGTTTATTCGATGTGGATTGATTTTCAGTTAAGAACAGGGCAGATTGTCATATCAAACATTATCAGGTAGGGTTGGAAGGGGGGAGATTTCTCAACAGCAGACATAAACTGAAATTGAATTTCATTGAAGTGGAAAGGTCAGATGGAAGTAAAAGCAGGTGCTGAGGAAAGAGAGAAAAAAGAAAGAAAAGGAGAGTTAGAGCAAGTGTGGATATGCTGTTAAATGGGGGAAGGGAAGGGGTGGTATGAGGCAAGATATCCGACCCAACATAATCGCTAACAGATCCAAATCATGATTCATTTAAAGGATAGCTTTGCGTTTTGGGGGGCCTCGTTGTAGGTAACAGACGAAAGGAAAACAACAGAAACTTTTTGAGCGGATTAGACACCGAGTAGGTTCGCACGCTGAGCGGTTTCAGGGCTTCAGGATAGCATCAAGGGCTAAGTCGGACACGATTGCAGGGTGGGGGATAGCGACCGAGGATGAAGGACCAAATCCGAATTTTCTTCTGTTGAAAAACGATAATGAAATGGTCATGATTTGCCAATTTGCTCCGTGTCATCTTTCTTATTTCTGAAAAGGAATAAGTGACCTTGACTATGTTTCCCATTACCGGAGAAGTCGCCAAGGAGAATGGCCTAAAGTGATTTGAAGCCGTCGGGGCCAAGAGGGCATTCCGTGAATCGGTGATGGTACGGGGTCGATTTTGGAAACGAAGGACTGTTGGCAAACGGGTCTTTGCTGTTACCAATTGTACATGATTCCGTAAATTCGACACTATGGTGTCTGTCACCAGGATAGTTACATGCCATTTGCTTTGGATGGAGCATGGTCCGTATTTTGATAAGCTTTGTGAAGTGAAGCAGGTTATACGGTTTGTAACGCTTTGCTTCTCCGACTTCCACGGAAGTACCCTTCAGTTTTCGTGTCATATCGGTAGAGGGGAGGAGATACAGCAGGGCGGAAGTATGCTGACACTCCTTGCGCATTTATCAGGTCCTTTTTGCTTGGAAACTGTAGCTAGTTGTGAGCCTTGATGCCGTTTAATCGTGACATTTTGCGGAGGTGCTGAACAGACCGCTGATAGGTTCGCAGTGAGAATTTCGAGGGGCGCCTTTGACGCCATCTTTGTTCAGTTTTGTCTGAGGCCTAACGACACTCGCCGGTTGTTCTGGTGCTCTGTTTATGATCTCATATGCGCTGAAAACTAAAGCTGGTCGGTTGTAACGATGAAATAATAAGAGGTTGAGAAGTTGCCTGCTAGTTGTAGTGGGACAGGAAGACTAATCTCAGAGTGCATATTATTCTACTAGACAGGCATTACCCGGTTGACATCGACTGGGAAATAACAGGGGTGGATGAGACCGCAACCATATCGCTTTATCAGTCTCTTGTATGCGGCTTTGTAATGGCAGGAATTATCATATTGGATGAGCATGAGCTGAGGTGAGGACAGGTAAAAAAAAAAAAAAAAAAAAAAAGGGAAATAACGCAGCCCCTTTCAAAGAAAACCAACAGAAATGAGAACAAAAGTGGGAAATTCTAACAAATGAATAAAAGGCAAACGCGACATATAAAATATATGAATCCAAAAAGTAAAAGAACCAAATTAATTAAAAGAATAGGAACATCGAAATTAAGAGGTTAAAAATAAAAGTAAACAGATGGCTCCCCCCAGACCTTATTCCATACCAAAAAGAGAAAAACTATTTTCGGGGTAGAAAAGAAAAGTGAAAATGAAAATAGAGCGGCTCTACCCTTCTTGTTGCACCCACTGACAATGTTGTTATTGCCAAAAGGTATTGTAGAAATGAGTCATGAAATGCAAATGGAAGGAAAAAGAGTAAAAAGAGGAAGAAGGAACGATACATGCACATTTGCAAACTAGGCGCTTTTTCCCTGGTGGCTTGACAAGTAAAATACCAGCAATGTAGGCAGGCACCTATAGGCCCCTGGGTAGGTATATGAAGTAGGTAAGATGCAGGATTGGACGATGGATCCGGGAGATATGTATAAGAGCGTGGAACCCTTATTTCGGATGTAAAATATAAACAGTTAAGTTAATGTGGGCTGGGCATGGCGTTCAAGCACGCAGCGTAAAGGTAGTTCAGTGGCGTATTCGTATATTTTTTTTTATATGCATTGTAAAAGACGTATAAACATTAAGGCTCACGATCTGAGCAATCACTTTCTCTGAGTATGTCAATCAACCGATCTGTTAGCAGCAGTAGGGCCATAGTCTTTTAATTCGGGAATAATCCTAGTCGTGTCGACAAGGCCCGGATACGCCCTGGCAAAAGCCGGGCCCAGGGACCAGTTATTCAAGTTGCGCAGATGCCGCTCAAAGACCGGATTGATTATGAGCTCTTCAGAGTCTGAGGGTGTGAGAAGAGTATCAGTCGCCTCGTATGGCCAATTGATGCTCAGCGTTGTGGTGTACGGGATGAACCAGTTTTGAAAATCGTAGTCTGGGTACGACGCAACCATACGATCTCGCATGCGTGGCCAGGGGAGATAATCCATCCACGCTGGATGGGGTGTCATGATTTGTGAAGTGCGTGGGGTAAGCCATTCCGGGAGGCGGTCGTAGTTTTGCTGGGTTGGGTATATCTGCCATCGCATAAGGAGGAACATCACGTATAGGATGGCTACTTGTTCGGGAAGATTGCTTATGCCGGGGAATTTGCTGAGGATGTCGGTGAAAACTTTTGAGAGGGGATGAGAGTATGCGCTTTTTGCAGGGTTGAGGAGAGATGAAACGCTGGGATATGGTGGCCCCACAAGGATTTGTTTGGATGCGCCATCCGCCGCCTCGCGTTGGCGGGTGTGAAGGAAGTCCAAAAGAATGGCGTCCATGGGGCAAGTGGGATCCACGTTGCGAACCGGGACCATGTGGGGAGCTATGCACGGATCAAAGAGGTTGTTATGGGACGGGTGAAGGTAGCGAAAACGGGTTGAAATGTTGAAAGACGGTGAGGATGAGTTTCCTCGCGGTTCCGAGATCTTGGGGATATGTCGAGGGGAGTCCACGAGGAAATTAAAACCTAGTCTTTCCCCCGACCCCGAGAAGTCTAGGCCATGTGTTAGTCCCTGCCGTTGTGCATTAAAGCCATTTGTGAGTGTGTATCGGGCTTCGGATTGCTGTGTAGGAACGGAATTCCCAGGCCAGTTTGGACGGAGTGCATATCCTGGAGATCCCGTAGTCGAAGGAGAAAGAGGCTCCATGCTCCTCGGGGAATCAACAACACACATACCCGGCCCTGTACCCAAGTCGAGGCTCGCTGCTGGAGTGCGAAGAGGAGGGTCTGGGTGTGGTATTGTTGAATGATGGGATGCTGGCGGGTCGGAGTGAGAGGCGGGAGACGGGGGTTCAACGTGCGATTGGCATGACCACGAACGATATTCGGAGCCATTGCCATCGGGCACCCCTACATTATCACAAGAACGGGGAGTATCATTTTCTGAAGGTGGCGGAGGTACACCATTCACAACCGGCTGGATCATCGCCACAACGGACGAGAGCATCCTCCGAATATCCTCATTTTCCTTCTCGACTTCGCGTTTCCGGTTCAATGCCGCCTGGAGATCCTGATAGGGCTGCTGTGAGGTTAATTCTCGCACTCGCCGTTCCAGGGTCTCAATCTGTGCTTTTGTCCTTTGCCTAATCGCCCGCTGTGCCTCACGGTCATTTGCCCGCTTCTTTGCCAGCTGTTCCGGGGTGAGGTTGGCAACACCACGGGACGGCGCAGGAGTAACAGCTTTTCTTTTCTTCCCAGTTATCGAATTGGCTTCGCGTAATATTGGGTTGCCTTTGCTCTCCGAGGGAATCGAGGGCAGGTTGTAGGTTGGGTTGAGGCCAGGATAGGTCGACTCGGTAGGCGAAGCATCGTTGGATTCATGCTCGCTACTGTGGCCCGTCATGCCTCGTCGACAGAATGCGAGCTGGCCCTCCGAGAGGTATGAACCATCCCACGCGGTTTGAAAGAGAGTTTATTCCGGCGTATAGGAAATTAGTTCCTCCTTGCTTCTCCAACGAGATTCCTGGCGAATCCAGGCGTGCAAGGTGGAGGGGCTTCAGGCAGGCACCAAATATATGTCCACCCACACTCGCAACAACGAAAAAGAAAAGGTAATCTCTCTGTTTTCTGTTAGGCGGTCTGTACGCAAACCGTAATGAATGGTTAGCTGGGCTTTGGTCAGGCTATCGAGGCGACGACTGTCGAACTTTGATGGTTGTCCCAGCGCTAGAATTTGCTTGTCTCGCCCGCTGCGCCACTAGTGAGCACTTGGTGCATGCGGGACTAAATAAGCGCAGTTAGCGACCTAATAAAATCCAAATATCAGCAAGGTCCCGCGCTGGCAGGTTGGCTTGGGGTCAGGATGGCAATGTATGTGCAATTCAGGGGCACACCGGAGTTGTATCGTTATTCCCGGTCTTGGCCCAACACTTGTTCTGTCATAAATAACAACGACCAGGCGAGCTGCTGAACGAAGTCCCTGATCGACGCATCTTTTTTCTTTCAGACACCGACCTAGATCGCCAGGGTTCATACGATATAGGATGGAACTAGTGAATTAGCAGCAGTGAGCTAAATATTTACCCAAGCGCTGGAAGACGCGCCATCCGACCTGAATGATGCACGCGTCCAAATGTATCGTTAATGTAATTGCCCACAACCACGCAAAGGGATCAAGAAAAAGGAGCTCAACGAAGGTGTAAATCCTTACTTGAGGAAGATGAGGACCTGGCCTTTGTTGATATGACACAAGCTGTGGTACCTAGCGTGCTCTAGAACCGAGCATATAAACGTCTCAGTTCCCACCGTTGCCCACCGTTATCTATATCTGACACGTCGAAGCCAACCCCTCTGGATGCAAGGTTCCCCATCTGTCTGATGAGCAATGATTGACTACTGTGGACCGTTATCCCCAGCTGGTTGGCTCAGCATAAACAAAACCTATCAGCTGCGCATCTTGACACAAGTGGTTTGTTTCGGTGCGAACAGTTTGGGCATAGCACAGAGTCGGGATCCATGGATGACGCTGATGAACGTTACAACTGTCCACAGTTTTGTTAAAACTTGCCTGCAAAGGATACAGAGCATGCTAGATCATTTTGCGTCTGGCATTCCCTAAATATCAAGTCGAACAAGTTGGTACATGTCCAAATACCTAATCAGCTACGCATACGTGTAACCTTCTCATGGTCCTCATTTTTCAACCGACACGTCGGGCACAAGCCTTAGAAAAAGGCTCGAAATTATACAAAAGTCCCCAGTTGTTGATTTCCTAGTTCTTCCTTTTGAGCAGCTGTGGATATCTGCGAAATCAGGATATATCACTGATAACAATTGCTGTCCTGGTGTACGGACATTTAGATCAGAGGGTATAAAACCGGAACCCACGGCACGAAGGCTCGAGAGCTGTCTGAATATTTTCAAACCATCACCTTCAATCGATCCATTGCTCTAAAAACTACGTGGATAGGCATAAATAGCACATTTGCGTGCCGACGGGATAAATTTATACCTCGTAAGGAGAAATGATATCCCTAGATACCCCTTAGCCAGCAGGCAACCCCCGAAATCATCCAACACTGCCAGGGGCACTTGGAAGCTTACAAATTGGCCAAACTTCTAGAACCACACCGAGCTATGTAATTGCTATCATAGCGCCTTGAATTATGTGATACAGCATCCTATTGTTCTCCAGCGCAGCCTTTTTGCCCTGTCAAGCAAGTTCGACGAGATGTAAGTCTAGCTAGATCTGGTGCTAGCTTCGGAGACATATTCGACCCAGAAAGTATCCGAGTGGCGTTTTAGTTACACTGCCATTGGCCAGCGTCGACCACGATGAACATGAGCAGAATATCTACTTCGAGGTAGAGACCGAGCTGCAATTTCGTATAAGGTATGGAGACCTCAAGAGAAGAACATGGACATGTATGCGATGTAGTCGAAAGGATGGAGCTCATGGTTGGTCAGGTCTTTCATCGAAATAATTCAATCCTGCTGTAAACCGTCTTTCTCCACATCCCGCAGCATCTCGAACTGTCCAGAGGTCTTCCACCTCGAAAGATTTAAATAGGACCAACATTCCCCTCTCAAAAACACGATTCTTAGATAGATATTTGTTTGTATTCTAATTCCATTAAACCTATACTTTACATATATCGCACCTCTACTTAAACATTCCGTATCTTCCGTGCATCTCAGCCCCTCATCTCAATCTCGCTTTTACAGACCTGCACGCCGAACCATTAGTATTCTCACCATGGCATCTGCCCATCGAACTCCCTCGGACGCCCCTAGTGGTCTAGATACATTGGCTGCTGTCAACGAAGAGTTCTGGAAGTAAGCTTACATATATCACCTAGCTATCCTACACCCTCTTACCCAGTAAAAACAGCATCCCCAGGAAAACTAACCTTTAACCACCCAATATAGTAACTCCGCTGAGACCGTCTTCAAAGAGTCATGGGTGCTAGAATTTCAAGCGAATCTGTGCACGTTTCTAGAGAAGAACATGGATTGGCTGGGTATCGCTAATGATCGTACACTAGCCGCGGAGCGGAAAATGCTCGATTATGCCTGTGGAAACGGGTTTTTGACAAAAGTAAGGTTTTTTTTTATTTGACTTAAAACCTTCGGCCTGGTACAACGCGCATTATTTTCCTATATATGTACATGTACATTAAATACACACACATGTACAGTACATATACGTACATGTGATGCCACGCTTTCCCAGCTTCAAGAAACTGCAGCAAAGCTTACCATTCCCAAGGTCTACCATCCCTTCTTCACTAAATGCGTCGGCATCGACCTAGCTGCCGGCATGGTTAAGCAGTACAACGACGCCGCTGCCGAGCTAGGTCTCTCGCCGGAGAAAATGTACGCAGTGAAGGGGGACTTATCATCACCCGTGTCCGCGCAAGAACCGCCCAAGCGAGAAGATGCCACCGCAACAGACTTATCCCGTGACGAGTTTTTCAACTTCAATTTCGCCGGGGTAGCCCTGGCGCTGCACCATATGCAGAATCCGAAGGCGGCCATCGTGAAGATGGCTGACAGACTGAAGAGCGGCGGTGTGATTTTGGCTATTGATTTGTTGCAATCTGAGGCGAAAGATGGGGAGGGGAAGGGCAGTAATCACCATCACCATGATGATCATCACCATAATCATCATGGCGGTCACTCTCACGGCCACGGTCATGGCCATGGTCATACGGATGCAGCCAACGCTCCACATGCCCGCGGCCCTGCAGGGCACACCATTTCTCACGAGCACCCTACCTTCTCACTCGAGTTGATTAAGGCCATGTTTACCCGTGCCGGGCTGGTTGATGTAGATGTTATCCTTTCTGACTGGAAGTTGCAGTTACCATTTGTGACGGATCCCAACCAGAAGCTGTTTTTTGCGAGGGGGAGGAAGCCGTGAACTAAAAAAATTCTGGGAATGGACTTGAGGCCGAGTTAGTGAAGATATATGAAGTTTTAGAAACTTAGAATCAAGTGCAACGAAATTTTACTGTGATGGATCATTTTTCGATCGATTCCAGGTTGGGGCCACAATGAAGCTAGGTGTGCGTGTAAAATGAATCCTAGTGTATGTAGAGAGCAGAAACACATCAGATATTTCAAAGCATGGTAGAAGGTAAAGAATCATAGGAAATGCAGCTTCCCATCACTTGTAGCCTCTCACGTGTACTCAATAAATATAGACAAATGAATATATTCACAAAATAATATCTATATGTTAGAAACTGAGACAACATCAAAGTACATGTACTGTACAAGACGGCAAATTTAGGAACTGTGCTTAAAAGATGAACACATAAGAAAAATACATGAGAATCCACATGAAACACGAAATAAAAAGAAGCAATTGAACAAACAAACCTCATAAGTGTTCAGTGGACATAGAAGTATCATATCGTATTATGTCCATGACATTCATAATTCGGGGGAAGAAAATCATTCAAGGAAACTAAGACTGAGGAAAATTTTCAGATAATAATGGAACAGGAAAGATGAGCATAGGGATAATTCTATGGTATAAAAAAACTCTTTGAGGACTGGAAGTGGATCCTCCATCAAAACGATGTACAAAGGGCTACTCAAGCATATGCCCCATTTTCCCGATCTGAACATGGGAGAATAATCGTTAGCTGTGAAAGAACAAGGAAAGAAAACTATAAGGAGGAGAGGAAAGGGGACATGATATCACTCACTTTGGTTCTTAGATAGTCCTCAATCTCCGTACTCCGGATCCCCTTCTGCCCACCTGACCGCCATGCTAGCGGGATCATGGGTACTCTCTCCTTCACGATCACCTCACGATTGGGGCCTTCGACAGCCATGACTTTATCTGGGTTATTCGTTAACAGCCGGATCCCGCTATTGTTCGCCGAGTCAACTCCCAGCCCCAGATCCACAAGCATGGCAGTCGCCAAACCATAGCTGCGAGCATCCGCAGGATGCCGAAGTATAAGATTGGCCTCGACCGTATCGTTCCCTAGATCTTGCAAGTTGTACGCCTTCAGTTTCTCGCTCAGACCAATGCCACGGCCCTCTTGGCGTAGGTATATAATAACGCCGCCAGGGCTTTGCTCTTGTGATGCAGTCGTTTCCGACATTAATCTTGCTGCTTCGTCTAATTGTTCTCCACAATCGCACCGCGCCGACCAGGCAGTTTCGCCCGTGTAACATTCTGAATGTATCCTGACGAGAGGAGCTTGTGCCGGTACCTGCTCCCTTTGCCCTGCCATTTCATTCCTCTGCACCACACCACTCACCACCTCTTTCGCGGAATCCGCACCACCAGCTGAAGGCTCCCTCTGCACGTTTATCCCAACGCCCATTCCTTCATCAAACCGGCTATCCTGTCTCCCAGGATACAACCTCCCCATATACGCCCCGCGAATCATGCGATCCATCTCAGTTTCCCCGGGCCGCACCCTATCCAAACTCCGGCTCCGAATTGAGTTCCCAAACACAATAGCCAAATGCTCCTTATTATCCGCATCATTGTGATAGAGATGCAGGAACATTTCCGCACCCGTCGTCGTCGGGATGCGGGCACGAACAATACATTCGACCTTGGGTAGCCGTGGAAGCAATTTGGGCGGTTTGGCATTGATCAAGCGATCTCTGCACTCCGTCGTCGATGACGCCGGTTTAACCGGTAGGTGTGCATTTTCGAGGCTGTGAGGGGTAGACGGAGGGGTGAAGGAGGGAGAGATAATGGAGTGTGAGAGAGCGGGGGTTGGCGCTTGGCTGCCCGCTTCTAGGTAGTCGTGCGTGTGGTGGCTACTGCCGCCAGGGGACTGAGTGCGAGTCTGCGAAGAGGGAGACGATGTAGGGGCATTACTCAAACCTCCGGTAAGTGAGTATTCGGTGATCGCTGGGTGTTTTGGATGGAGGGGTCGGGGTGAGAGGTATGCGGAAGCGTGAGAGGGAAAATCAGGCATTTTGGAAGTTACATTCAATAAAAATGTCGGCAGTGCAGGGTAACTTTTGTATTACCATGCCAAATACAACAACGGCTATAATATTCAGAGGATTTATGGCGATACCATGAGATAGGAGTGAACACAAATATTTTGAGCCGTCATATGGACTTTCTGATTTCTATTTGTAAGTCATGACTGAGCCTCGGTCCGGCTGAGTCAGCGGTAAGGCCGGCGATGTCGCTTCCTTCGGCAATCGCGCCACGCCGAGCTGGAGGAACGTCACTATCTGACATTATGGGATAAACAACACTGTGATTGCTGCCAAAACAATTTCTAGGCGATAATCAAGCCAATCGTAATATAGCTTGCTGAGAGTGGAATTGTGCAGTTTCGATATTATTAACTATTACTACTTTTCGACACATCCATTCCTATCATGTAGTTGCTAAAACCGCTAATTAAATATCCCAATATTAATAATATCCAAGGGCCACAACAAAATGCTGGTCCAATCCCAGTATCCAACACCTGTCCAGAACACCAAGCTCAAAATGAGATCGTAGCAGAGCAAAATCCAAAATCCCTGTAGACGATAAAAAGTTGGAAATGTAAGAAAGAACCAAATAACCGCCACCGCCCAAGGTAAACCGTACGTACGCGTCCACGTACTACAAATATACATATCAGATAGAGTACCAATTACCGAGCGGCCGTTTTCATATCGGAGTAATAAGACCAACCCAATTATTTCCCCGGGATGTCGAGCACAAAACGGCGGTCGACATCCATCTCCTTGTCATCTTCCTCCCCCTCAAACTTCAACCGATACACGTCCTTCTTGGAACCCATAACCTCCGCACGGTAAAACGTAGTGGTATCGGGATATCTAGCGAGGACTTGTTTTCCAACAGAAAATAATGGCAGGGAAGCGCCGACTTGGGGAATGGGAATTAATGAAGCTGCAGTGGTTTTGTAGACTGCGCCCTCCTCGCCATTTTCACTGGGCTCGGGATCTTGGACATCGTAACTGGGATGGTTGTCAATGCTAAAAGAAAATTCAGTTGTGCTGGGAACCTTCTACGTGGACTTACCGCTTCTTATGACCCTCCCCCGCTATGCTCTTGATGATGCACTGTATACCTTCTCCCTCCACCCCCTGTTGTTTCTTATTGTGTTTGAAAACAACTTCTGCTCCAACAAACAGATGCCCACTTTTCTCTGCCGCGGTACCTTTCGTGCCTTCACCTCCATCCTCACTCTTGACAGAAACTGCTTCACGGGCTTGGCTGCTTGACACGCTTGCGCTTCTATGGGTACTGTTTTTGAGCCGATTTAATTTATCGGCTATCCCCGTAGTAGGAGAATCGGAAGCTGGGGTTTCAGCTTCTGTCTTCCGTTTCCGTGGCTTGCCAGAGGAACCGGCCCGCGTCTGGGGGTCAGCTTCGGACGCTGAGCGTAGAGCGATTAGTATCTCGAGGTTTTTAATGACGTCTGCTGGCTCATCACGTAAGATAGCGCGTTCCTCTTCACTGTGCTTGTTGATTATACGCTCGTAGTTTTCCATCTGCTCAAGCTCCGCTGGTGTTGCCTCTGAAAACCGCGTCATTAGCAAATATTAAAACTCGTTCCGGAGTGGGTTCCGCCCATGCAGTCTGAAACTAGCTACTGGATTGATGATGCAGGGAGAACAGAGTAGACAACTGTACTAAAAAGGGAACACAGCTAAAGGACCGAACGGTAAATCAATAGTTCTGACAGCCTGGGAACAGGGTACAAGCCGAACCACAGGCGCAACTCAAACAGTCGAATCCTAAAACTTGAAGCAAGGACACACGGTGGAGAGAATAAGGCTAGCAAGAAGGGCTTCTCGTGATCCAAATGGAGATGGATGGGGAAACTTCCTTAAAGGGTGTACGTCTAGGAGTCCAGGATGGCTTCGTTCATACATATGATGGCTGAGTGATAAAATAATATCGTTCCTTGGTTTGATCCAAGGTGCCATCTGTTTTCGAGGAACTGAGAGATAACACAGAAGATATATATGTGATAGTGTAGAGAAGCATATTCAAGGGATTCGGGGAAGAAATTGTAACCAAAGACCCATTCTGATTCTGGGCAAAGAGTAAATCCATTTGGTATAAAGATGGCTGAGTAACAATAGCAAGAATCCTAACCCAGACATGCCGATACAGAAATAATAAAATAAAATAAAATAAGAAGGGTAAGTTATGCACTCACTTCGGCCAGCTTTTGCGATTTTATCCCTGAGCGCGGCGAGTTGGAACCCTGGGATCCTTTGTTTCTCGTTTTTCTCCGCGGCCTTGTGTATGTCTTGACGGATTCGATTCCACATTTCGATTTCCTCATTGGCAGCCGCGCCGTTGTCCCTGGTGGGAGGGCCTCTTGGTCTGTTTCGGGACATGCTGCGCTCTTCACGTTCGGACTTCAACTGAAGGGCTTTCCCCCTTTTCTCCTTGCGCTTTTGAGCTTCGGCCTTCTTTGCTGCGGCCTGTTCTTCTTTAGCCTTTCTTACTTTGGCAATATCAACAGCTTCCCACTCCGAACCAGATAATACTTGGAATTCGAAACTGCCCTCGGTTTGCCTGCGTGTGCGTACTACCGACTGAAGGTGTGTCGCGGTATATCGCGCAGAGGCAGACAAAGATGAGTTTGAGCTTATGTCAATGCCAGAGCTGCAAGGTTCTTGGCTGAGCTGGCCGTTCTTGCGATCTGGAACTCCACAGTCCGGGGTATGTATCCGAAGTGATTCCGCCGGCAAAATTAACGCTGCTGGAGTCGCTGGGGTAGCTGATATCGGCTGGTGGAGTGGCGCGGCAGGCTGATCGTCTCCTACCGCCAACGAGACATAGGGAACCGTGGAACTGATGGCTTGGAGTGAACAGCGGTTGGGTGCAGGCATGTCATCAGCCTTATTCGGCGGCTGGTAGCTTTGATTGGACATCGTCGGAAAAGTTTGTCCCAAGGTTAGGGCTTGCCGCGGTCACGGGACGCTGGGGTAGCGCCAGTTAGGTAAGCTGGGGACGGGATCACGGGATCACTGGTATGGTGTACTAGTGGACGCAACGGGTGGAGTCAAACCACGTCACTGGATTCTGAGCTGGAGTTGGAATGAAGAGCAACATTGTTTGTTGAAGACACTCAGAATAAATAGAAGAACGACGGCACCGCTGTCCTACTCCCGCTTGCACTTTATAATCTATTGAATCGCAGTCGACCTCTCTTCACAGCAAGCGCAACTCTGTCACTTTCATTTCTTCAATATGCAGGTGCCCCTCTTCCGGTTGCAGTGCGGTGAGTTTGATAT